CCCACGGCCGGGGAATCGAGGTGAGCGCGAAGCGGAGAGGGGAGGAGGAGAGTGATGGCTGTGGCTCACCGCAACAACAACAACAGCAGCAGTAGTACCAGCAGTAGTACCAGCAGCAGTAGTAGTAGTACCAGCAGTAGTAGTACCAGCAGTAGTACCAGTAGTAGTAGTACCAGCAGTAGTAGTACCAGCAGTAGTACCAGTAGTAGCAGTAGTACCAGTAGTAGTAGTACCAGCAGTAGCAGTAGTACCACCAGCAGTCAGTACCAGCAGTAGTAGTACCAGCAGTAGTAGTACCAGCAGTAGTAGTACCAGCAGTAGTACCAGTAGTAGTAGCAGCAGTAGTAGTAGTACCAGCAGTAGTAGTACCAGTAGTAGTAGTACCAGTAGTAGTAGCAGCAGTAGTAGTAGTACCAGCAGTAGCAGTAGTACCAGCAGTAGTAGTACCAGTAGTAGTAGTACCAGCAGTAGCAGTAGTACCAGCAGTAGTAGTACCAGTAGTAGTAGTACCAGCAGTAGCAGTAGTACCAGCAGTAGTAGTACCAGCAGTAGTAGTACCAGTAGTAGTAGTACCAGTAGTAGTAGTACCAGCAGTAGTAGTACCAGTAGTAGTAGTACCAGCAGTAGTACCAGTAGTAGTACCAGCAGTAGCAGTAGTACCAGCAGTAGTAGTACCAGCAGTAGTAGTACCAGTAGTAGTAGTACCAGTAGTAGTAGTACCAGCAGTAGTAGTACCAGTAGTAGTACCAGCAGTAGCAGTAGTACCAGCAGTAGTAGTACCAGTAGTAGTAGCAGCAGTAGTAGTAGTACCAGCAGTAGCAGTAGTACCAGCAGTAGTAGTACCAGCAATAGTAGTACCAGCAGTAGTAGTAGTACCAGTAGTAGTAGTACCAGCAGTAGTACCAGTAGTAGTAGTACCAGCAGTAGTAGTACCAGCAGTAGTACCAGTAGTAGTACCAGCAGTAGCAGTAGTACCAGCAGTAGTAGTACCAGCAGTAGTAGTACCAGTAGTAGTAGCAGCAGTTGTACCAGCAGTAGTAGTAGTAGCAGCAGTAGTAGTAGTGCCAGCAGCAGTAGTAGTAGTACCAGCAGCAGTAGTAGTAGCAGCAGTAGTAGTACCAGCAGTAGTACCAGCAGTAGTAGTAGTAGCAGCAGTAGTAGTAGTACCAGCAGTAGTAGTAGTAGTACCAGCAGCAGTAGTAGCAGCAGTAGTAGTAGTACCAGCAGTAGTACCAGCAGCAGTAGTAGTAGCAGCAGTTGTACCAGCAGTAGTACTAGTAGCAGCAGTAGTAGTATCAGCAGTAGTACCAGCAGCAGTAGTAGCACCAGCAGTAGTAGTAGTAGTACCAGCAGTAGCAGCAGTAGGAGTACCAGCAGTAGTACCAGCAGTAGTAGTACCAGCAGTAGTAGGAGTAGCAGTAGTAGGAGTAGCAGTATTAGCAGTAGGAGTAGTACCAGCAGTAGGAGTAGCAGCAGCAGCAGTAGTAGTACCAGCAGTAGGAGTAGTAGCAGCAGTAGCAGTAGTACCAGCAGTAGGAGTAGCAGCAGCTGTAGTAGTAGTACAACAGTAGCAGTAGTACCAGCAGTAGGAGTAGCAGCAGCAGTACCAACAGTAGCAGTAGTACCAGCAGTATTCGTACCAATAGCAGTGTCAGCGGTAGTAGTACCAGCAAGCAGCAGTAGTAGTACCAGCAGTAGTAGTACCAGCAGTAGTAGTACCAGCAAGCAGCAGTAGTAGTACCAGCAGTAGTAGTACCAGCAGTAGTAGTACCAGCAAGCAGCAGTAGTAGTACCAGCAGTAGTAGTACCAGCAGTAGTAGTACCAGCAAGCAGCAGTAGTAGTACCAATAGAATTGCCACCCTCTCCGCTCTCGCTCCGCGAGGTGCAGTCGTGTTGTTGTTGTTGTTCCCAGGCAGCACGCTGGGACCTTTTTTGCCGGTATCGAAATGATGGAAGAGGAGCATCTTGGAAAGGGATAAAACGTCATTATTATGTTGGTCATCATTGCGATCCTAATTTGTTGGTGTTTGCTCTGATTTATATTTTGCTTTGCTTCGCTTTGCCGTGCTTGCGCTGCTCTTCACCGTTATCGTTGAGGTGACACGGGTCAATGACACACACAAACTCCTACAAGTAAAACCCTTCACTTCAGGAGCCGTGCCCCCAGGGCTGAACGGCGGCATCGGAGGCGACTGCCCCGGGCCCCGCACTTTGGGAGGGGGCCCCACGCGGTTGCGGTTTGCCACTGGGCCCCGCTCCACGCTTGGTCTATCAACTGTTGGATGGACGAGGTCCCTAAACACCCCCCCATCCCCTCCCCCCCCAAGCCACCGCCACGCACGAGCAGCCCAACTCGTGGCTCCGCTCCTCGTGGAGAGCCCCCAAGGGCCCCCCAGTAGGCAGCATGGGCAGATAGCTTCCTTTGGCAGTGCCGATTGATCATCCTGAGTTGCTCGCCGCTATAATTACCCGGCTTTAAACCCCGCGACATTCATTATACTATCGCAGAACTCTAAATGCCACAAACCCCTGCTCCAGCCAGCCACTCTAATTATAAGGTAAATAAATAATACAATCAACGGTGTGATTTTTTATTTGTTCAGAAAAGCCCAAAGTATCACGGCTCGCGTTAATGAGGGTCCCTGCCACCACGTGGGTGCGCAGATCGCCCGCGAGGCACTTCGGCAGGACACAACGGTGGGAAGGGCGGTGGCAGTGGATCGGTCCTGATGATGATGATGGTGGTGATGGTGGTGACGACGATGGTGATGATGGTGACGATGGTGACGACAATGACGATGAGAGCCAACACACCTACTTGCTGTTCTGCCAACAAGCTAGTTGATCGTCCCATAGCCGAAAACGATCTGTAGGTGATCCACCAACCCCAACCTTTTTTGCAGGTTCAGAGAGTGGGTGAGTTAGTGAGTGGGTGGGTGAGTAGGCGAGTCGCCGAGTGATTGAATTAATGAATGGGTTGGTGGGTGAGTTCGTGAGTGGGTGAGTGTGTAAGTTGGTGAGCGAGCGAGTGCGTGAGTGGGTGAGTGTGTGGTGGCCCAAGACGGTGTGGGCGAGAGGCAGGGTGATTCAGACGGCGATATTCGGGGGCTCCCTCTGCCCGCGCGTTCTCGCTCGGCGTGGACGCTGCCGTCGATGCCGTTACCCGGCCCCGTCACGGCGCCCCGGGTAACGCATTCACCGCTGGCTTTGAGCCAGGGATGAATGGGGCTCTCGAGTCGGCTGAGGATGCACGCCGCGGTTTCTCATTTGTGAATCAATGCGGCTATACTGTAGGCGCATGAATAAGCACACCTTTATTATTAGTAGGAGGCGCTTCATAATGACTGTGTCAGAGATGGTAAACCGGCACTGTTGAGATTCTGGGATTCGTATTTCGAGCCTTGGGTCTGGGCGTCTCGTTCTCGGGGTCGATAATGGCCTCTTCGGAGACGCTGAGCGCTGAGGAGGCTGGGTTCAAGCTCTAGCTAGTGGCTGGCTGTCCTGGATTGCTGGATACGCAGACGGACAGACACACGGGCAGACGGACACACAAAGACAAATATCCCGCCTGTAGCCTGGACAGACTTTTACGGGAAAGTGTTGTTAGCGAGCACCTTTCAAGGCCGGCACAGCACACGAGGGGGTGGGTGGCCAGCACCACGCCCGGCCGCCTTTGTCTCCCCCAGTGGCGATGTTTACGCACCGCGCCGGGTACTCGTTTGAGGCCGAGTCGACCTAGGGGAAGGAAGCCCAGGACCGGTCGAGATAAACGTCGCTGACCGCTGCGGCACCGCTCCCCCCGCAGACGGAGAGCCCCAGGAGCGGCAGTGAGGGGAGCCGGTCGGGTGGGGGGGGGGGGGGGGCTGAGGGGGGCTGCCGACTCGGCGAGGGTCGCCGCCCACGCCATGGGCTGCGGCACGTCCAGCCCGTGCCGTTACCCCGGCCTCGAACAAGACCGAGAGAGGTTGGTGGTCGACTCGCTCCGGGACGGGGCCCTCGGCCTCGCCCCCCTCATCCGACACGTGCCGTCCGTCAGTAAACATGACAGCAATCTCTGGCGGGGGGGGGGGGGGGGCGGTCTATGACAGTGTTTGTCACTGGTTTGTATGTGACGTGGTCTGTGTGTGACATGTGAGTCTACGTGGTCTGTATGTGACGTGGTCTGTGTGTGACATGTGAGTCTATGTGGTCTGTATGTGACGTGGTCTGTGTGTGACATGTGAGTCTACGTGGTCTGTGTGTAACATGTGAGTCTACGTGGTCTGTGTGTAACATGTGAGTCTACGTGGTCTGTGTGTAACATGTGAGTCTACGTGGTCTGTGTGTAACATGTGAGTCTACGTGGTCTGTGTGTAACATGTGAGTCTACGTGGTCTGTGTGTAACATGTGAGTCTACGTGGTCTGTGTGTGACATGTGAGTCTACGTGGTCTGTGTGTAACATGTGAGTCTACGTGGTCTGTATGTGACGTGGTCTGTGTGTGACATGTGAGTCTACCTGGTCTGTATGTAAACATGTGAGTCTACGTGGTCTGTGTGTGACATGTGAGTCTACGTGGTATGCGTGTGACATGTGAGTCTATGTGGTCTGCGTGTAACATGTGAGTCTATGTGGTCTGTGTGTGACATGTGAGTCTATGTGGTCTGTGTGTGACATGTGAGTCTACGTGGTCTGCGTGTAACATGTGACTCTACGTGGTCTGTGTGTGGCATGTGAGTCTACGCGGTCTGTGTGTGACATGTGAGTCTATGTGGTCTGCGTGTAACATGTGAGTCTATGTGGTCTGTGTGTGACATGTGAGTCTATGTGGTCTGTGTGTGACATGTGAGTCTACGTGGTCTGCGTGTAACATGTGACTCTACGTGGTCTGTGTGTGGCATGTGAGTCTACGCGGTCTGTGTGTGACATGTGAGTCTATGTGGTCTGTGTGTGACATGTGAGTCTATGTGGTCTGTGTGTGGCGTGGTCTGTGTGTGACATGTGAGTCTCCGTGGTCTGTGTGTGACATGTGAGTCTCCGTGGTCTGTGTGTGACATGTGAGTCTACGCGATCTGTGTGTGACATGTGAGTCTATGTGGTCTGTGTGTGACGTGGTCTGTGTGTGACATGTGAGTCTACGTGGTCTGTGTGTGACATGTGAGTCTACGTGGTCTGTGTGTGACATGTGAGTCTACGTCGTCTGTGCGTAACTATGCGTGAGTCTACGCGGGTCGCCAAGTATCAGAATCTTTATTCTTCCTCGACAAATCCGATGAGCTACGAAGCTCTTTTTCGCACACGTCCAGTCGGGGGAGGGCGCCGCGGCGATAACACCCACGGCCGTCGTCGTTGGCGACCTCCCTCGCGGTTCTGTCGGCGTCGCCGCAGCCATGAAGTCGGCGGTGCTGATCCAGCGGTGGTACCGGCGCCACGTGGCCCGGCTGGAGGCGCGGCGGCAGTGCACCTGGAAGATCTTCCAGTCCATCGAGTACGCGGCTGAGCAGGACCAGCTCAAGGTGAGCGGCGGTGGCACGGGCGGGGGGGGAGCGCCACGCCAGCCGGGAGGCCTCCGGAAATCCCACGCGGCCGTCGCCGGTCACGGCCGTGCCGAGCGCGAGCCGAGACCTGGGCCTCGTTCGCAGACACCCTTACCGATCCCCGCCTCGCGCCTTCGCCGACCCGCACCGACCGGCGTGGCGAAGCACGGCCAAGAACCCCCGTGGCCGGCACGGTCTAGGGGAGGCCTTCGTCCGGCAGTCGACTGACAGGGGGCCGAACGTCGTCGTTGTTATTATTGCACCACCCACCGTCGCCTCTGTCCCTCTGCGTGGCAGCTTCACAACTTCTTCAGCTCGCTCATCGAGCAGCACACGCCGCGGGAGCCGGGGGAGTGCGGCGCTGGCGGATACGGTGAGTCCAGCGGCGTCCGCGCCTCGCTCACGGCTACGGCCGCCTGGGTTCGATTCCCGACTCGGGTTCTTTTCTGCGTGGATTTTGGTGTGATCTCCGCCCCGCACGCCCCCCGTTCTGAAGAGTGAGGTGGGTGCAGTGGTTAGGGCGCCGCGCTGCCAACCCAGCGACCCGAGTTGTCACGACCAAGAACAGAAACGAATATTTCAACTGGTCCTGGGCCTCCACTAGGTCCACTCAGCCTTAAATGAATACCTAGTACGATGTGTAAACATCGCTATTAAGCAGCCGGGCGTGGTGCTGGCCACTCACTCCCACGTGTGCTTTGCCGGCCCTCATAGGTGCTCGCTAACAGCACTCGCCCCAAAAGTCTGTAAAGGCTATATGGGTGATCTTTGTCTTTGGGAAGCGGTGTCACAGCAGTCGGCATTCTGCGCTATGAACCAGGTGACCCGAGTTCGATTCCCGCTCACAACCAACACAAGTGACAACTATCCTCGAGGTTGATTCAGCCCTTAGTGAGCAGCTGGTGTGGTGTGTAAACATTGGCACTCGGCAGACAACGGCAGTCAACGGCAGTCAGGTGCTGGCCACTTACTCCCTTGTTGGCTGTACTCGCCTTAATAGGAACTGGCTAACAGCGCGTGCCCTCACAGCCTGTGCAGACTATAAGGTGGGGGGGGGGGGGGTTGTCTTCATGAGTGAGTGGAATTTTAATATTCTTGGTTCTTTCGGTAAAGTCACGTAGAAGGGAAATAATAAAAATAGAACATTAGGACGCTGTCTTTCCGACAGTTCTGTTTCTTCACCTGAGGACGGCTGCTTGCGTTGTGGCCGAAACGTCGTGAGAATTGTATTTTATTGTTTTATTTTTATTATTTTATTATTTCCCTTCTATGTGACTTTCCCGAAAGAACCAAGAATATGAATCCCCTGCAGTCACGAAAGCTTTAAATCGAAATTTGATCTGAGAGTTTGCATCACACTGCGATAAAAAATAATCTACGCCTCGAGATTCCTGGCTGGCTGCTGGCTGGGCTCCTGTCCGCCCCAACTCTAACTCTATTGTCGGAGGCTTTGGGTTGTTGCCACCGAAACTTGCTGGGTAACTGGCTACACGGGGCGTTTTGCGTGATAAATAAACATCTCCTAGACATTGAATAGATCGGGACACTGGGGACGTGGGACGAACGCATGCAGAAGACCGGCACGGTGCATTTTAAATCGCTTCAACTCTTCCATTTGTTGCTTCTATTAATGTAATTATTTTGCCGGAATATTCTTAAAATCCTAGAGAAAGTAAAACAACCTCACAATGCATGTTTGCATGTTATTATTACTATGTTAAAGCAGATTCTGTTCAGTGCTCCGAGTACAGGGGGAATGCGAGCAGAGCATGGAGATGAGGGCTGTCTCTTATTTTCCGTTACAGAGCAAAGGGTTCTGTAATTGTGATGATAAAATAATAATATCAGCTGGCGGTGCATACCGATACATTATTGAGCAGTCGAAATTGCGATGATGTTGACTCTAACCCGGTGGCAAAATGTTATCTCTCTCGCCTGGTATACAGGAGGTCGTGGGTTAGATCCTGACCGTGTATATTTGGAGTTAGTTTGCACGTCTTTCCCTGTGGTCACGTGATTTCTCTCCGGGTCCTCACGGTTTTTTCCCTCTAAATTATAGTTTCGTTGAGCTATCATTTGTGGCCGGGGTCGCTTATTTTACCAGGTAAGGCCCAATGAGCTATACAGCTCATTGGGCCTTACCTGGTAAAAATAAGAATTCAGTAGTTTAGTTTAGCAGTCAAAATTCTGACGATGATGACTGTAACCCAACCCGAACACTAAAGCAAGTTCCAAGTCAGGAGTCCCCGTGACCCACGTGCCTACTGCCACGCTGTCTCCGCGTGCAGCGCGGATTTCCTCGGGGTCTGTCGGCGGCGACGCCACCCGTGGCTCGGGGCCGCTGACCCGGCCCAGCAGCGCGATAACGATTGTCAGAACGACTGCGGCGACGACGGTGAAGGAAATCTTCCGGCCTGCCGTGCACAGACGAGGTTCCACGCTGGCTCGGGCGCCCGCCGGGCGGCAGCTGCGAGGAGGAGTCTGCGCTGTGCGACGCCATCCAGGTGCCCGGCGACTACACGGGCCCGCGGCTCGACTTCCCGCTCGCGCCCGGCCAGGCCGTCGCCCTCGTCAACGCCTTCAAGAAGAAGCAGGCACGCGTGCACGGCTCGGAGGGGCCGGGCAGCGTCACGGTGGCCGTGGAGACGATTGAGCCCGGCGGCGTCGTGGGCCTGGGTTCACGCGCTGGTGCTGGAGATGTTATTCAGACTCAACACGTCGGGTCTCACGGCCAATGTTACGATTCATTGTCAATGCTTTTGGCCGTTAGGACTCTCAGTCACGCGACACCGCCAAAGAAACTGACAGTCCATTATCGATTGTCCGGTGGCTTTCGGGGGGGTGGGGGGGGGGTGCCAGATTTTCAAAAACGCTGGATGATATAATCACTGCATCATCATTATTTTTAAAATAGCTTATTTTTGCACAATTCTTGTATGACGTGGTGTTTTTTGGCCCGGGGCCGCCGGATAATGTTGGCAGCGGCCGGATAATCGAAGATTGACTGACTGTAAATCGTCACGTGGTGTACGAAAGCTAAGCCGCCGACGAGCCGATGGCCTAATAGTTTCAGCCTCGCGATTGGCCGAAACGCTGGCACCGTGCCACGGTTTCACACGTCGGGCGGTGGGAGGGGGGTTGCACAAACAAGAAGTGAATCAGACCACAACGTGGACGAACTCCCCCACCCCCTAGCACTAGGGGCTTCACTCGATGGCAACTCCTGGTTCTGGAGGGGCAATGATTGGCTGTGGAGCTGAGGCTGCTACCCCTCCCCCCACCCGGTTCTCCTTCTTATTATTATTCCGATTTTTCAAGAAATGTTTCTCCAGAGGTGAGCGTCGCGTAAAGCTCCATCGTGGCGAGCGAGCAACTCGCAAAGGTCGCGAGGTCAAGTCCCGGCTGGCGGGTCAAGTCCCCCGCCCATTGCCCCCCCCCCTCCTCCTCCCCCCCTCGCCGTGCCCCCCCCACCAATCCCCCCACCCTCCCCCCGCCCCCCACCTCGCAGCGCAGGTGCTGCACGCTCGCTTCGCGCTGCGCCTGCTGCTGGAGGCCAGGAGCCTGCTGCACCACCTGCCCACCGTGCGCCACGCCTCCACCGCCAACAGGCGCGACATCACCGTGTGCGGTACGGCCGGCGGGCAACGGCACCGCGGTGCGGTGCGGTGCGGGGTAAACGCGAGTGGTGCGACACGGTACGGTGCGTCGCGTTGAACTGAAATGTCACCGCGATGCGATGCAAGATCATAGAATACGATGTCATACAATGCAACACAATGCATTGTGATATACACTCCAATAGCAATACAATGTCATTCATTGTAATATACTCTAGATTAATGCAATGTAATGCAATGCATTGCAGTATACTCTGATATCAAGGCAGTGCAGCGTTGCGATGTCTGCGTCTGCAGGGACCTCCATGGGCAGCTGGAGGACCTCTTCCTCATCTTCTACAAGGTGACGAGTGCTCACTCACTTGCTCGCTCGCTCGCTCATTCTCTCTCTCACTCGCCCACTCACTCGCTCGCTACTCGCTCGGTTCACTCACCCACTCTCTCACTCACTCGCTCACTCACTCATTCGCTCGGTCACTCACTCGCTCATTCACTCGCCCACTCACTCACTTGCCCGCTCACTCACGCACTCTCTCGCTCACTGGCTCACTCACTGACTCACTCACTTGCTCACTCGGTTAATCATTTTCCCGCTCACTCGCTCGGTCACTCACTCGCTCAGTCATTCACTCGCCCACTCACTCGCTCAGTCACTCATTCGCTCACTCAGTCACTCACTCGCTCAGTCAATCACTCGCCCACTGACTCACTCGCCCGCTCACGCACTCGCCCACTCACTCACTCGCTCAGTCACTCACTCGCCCACTCACTCGCCACAGTCACTCACTCGCTCACTCACTCGCTCACTCACTCACTCGCGCAGTCACTCACCTCGCTCACTCACTCACTCAGTCACTCACTCGCCCACTCGCTCACTCACTCGCTCAGTCACTCACTCACTCAGTCACTCACTCGCCCACTCGCTCAGTCACTCACTCGCTCACTCGCTCAGTCACTCACTCGCTCACTCAGTCACTCACTCGCCCACTCACTTGCTCAGTCACTCACTCGGTCAGTCACTCGCTCGCTCAGTCACTCGCTCGCTCCGTTCATTGCGTTGAGCCCAGTCTCCCACTCCTCTGCGTTAGCAGTGGTGCACGAGCACAAGTAACACAACTAACGCAATCAGCACAACTAACGCAATCAGCACAACTAACACAAGTAACACAACTAACACAAGTAACACAACTAACGCAATCTGCACAACTAATTACAACCAACGCAATCAACAACACAACTGCAATCCGCTCACCAATCGTGCCGTGCATGGCCTCGGGGGGGTGGGGTCCAGGCCGCACGTTCGGTGACGTCCCCCCCCTCCTCCTCCAGCGACGTATCCACGTGCATTCGGCAAAGAGCTGTCGCCTGAAACGTTGTACACGCGTTAGCGAATCATGCAGGCTATGCTGGGTGGACACTTTGCCTCCCATGCGCTCGTGCCTGTGTGCGTGTGTGCGTGCGTGTGCGTGTGTGTGTGCGTGTTTGTGTGAACAGGGGTGGGGAGCCGTAGTGTCGCGGTTAGCGCTACGCTGCGCTACGAACCCGGCGACCCGAGTTCGATTCCCGCTCACGGCCAACACCGGTGACGATTATCTGAACCGGTCCTGGGCCTCCCCTAGGTCGACTCAGCCTCAAATGAATACCCGGTGCGGTGTGTAGTAAACATCGCCACTGGGGAGACAAAGGCGGTCGGGCGTGGTGCTGGTCACCCACCCCCTCGTGTGCCGTTCCGGCCTTCGTAGGTGCTCGCTAACAGCACTTGCCCCTACAGTCTGCTAAGGCTATGCGGGGGATTTTTGTCTTTGCGTGCGTGCATCCTGCGCGGGCGTGCAGAACGGGCTGCCGGGTGTCGATCGGCCGTACATCTTCAACGGCGACTTTGTGGACCGTGGCTCGAGCTCGTTGGAGGTGCTGCTCGTGCTGCTCGCCTTCCTGCTCGCACACCCGCACGACGTCTTCCTGAACCGCGGCAACCACGAAGACTACGTCATGAACACGCGGTGAGCCGGCTGGCCCCCCTCCCCCACTCCCCTCCCTACGGCCCTCCCTAGCTCGCCCCCGTCTGACCCGCGTGAGATCCCTGCCCCTCTCCCGTCTCCCGCCGTGACCCTTGACCTTCTCCCGCCTCCCGTCGCGATCCCTGACCCCGTGCGCCTCTCCGTGCTTCTCGTCGCTGCCTCTGGCCGGTGTTGGCGTTTCTGAAGCCTGCGGGCAAGAGACGGCGATCTACACCCAATAAACTTGCCCAAATACACATGCATTTTTAAATATATTAAACAACATCCTAATTATTGCTGCCACTGTGGCTGCTGCTGATGTCTCATTTCAGGTACGGCTTCACGAAGGAGATTTTGATGAAGTACAAGGTAATGTGGCACGGCTGCCTGTCCTGATTGCGTTTGCGTCGCTTTGTCCGAGTGCCCGTGGCCTTGACCTGACGACGCTTGGCGCAGCGCCAAGTGAAGCGTCGCCAATCTGGTCGCTGCTACCTGGGTGGGTGAGTGAATGAGAATCACTCTCGAATTCACCCCCCATGGTGAGTGGGTGAGTGAGGAATGTACCCTTAACTCATCGGTGCAAGCGGAAACAATCATAAGAGACACGTTAAATGCTTGTACATTCTGCGGTAATGTATTACACTTGGCTGTGTTGGGTGTTGGGAGGGGTTTATGACACTGAGTGCCTGGGCTGGGTCTCTCCCTCGGGGGGGTTCACAATGGCCACGTCTGAGATACTGAGCCGGTACCACAGAGATCCTGGGTCAAAAGTAAAATTCCTGGGCTGGATCTCTCTCTCTCTATTAAACTCTTAACTAAACGATTTTTTTTATTTTATCAGGTAAGGCCCACTGAGCTATTTAGATTTTTTTCAGAAACTATCTGGCTATCACAAATGATAGCTCAACGAAGTGGCTTGTCACGTCGGAATGTATAGCAGCCAAATACTCTAAACGCGTGACATTGATTCTAAATGTGGAGGGAGAAACCGGAGGGTCCGGAGAAAAATCCACATGACCACAGGGAGAGAGACACGCAGACTCCAAATACTGGCACACAGCAGGCATTGTGATCGAGATTGAACCCACGCGCTCCTGTATACCAGGCGAGGTAGTAAACATCTCCTAGCCACCGTGGCGTCCAGTAAAGGCTGTGATTGGCAGTTGGTGTGTGGTGGGGCAAAGTGTGGGGGCTCTCCCCCCCTCGACCAAGACATCTGGACATAGAGTCGGCCCAAATCCACCCTGAATACGCCGCTTCTGCGTTTGTCACCATGGCCGTGTCGGAGATGCCAGGCCGGCATGGCCGGGATCCGCGGTTGTGTCCGGCAGCGGGAGCGTGCCGGGCGTTGACCGCGGTGGGGGCTGTGCCGGAGCGTCCGCAGGTGCACGGGCGGCTGATGGCGCGCGTCGTGCGGGACCTCTTCAGCTGGCTGCCGCTCGCCACCGTGGTGGACCGCAAGGTGCTGGTGGTGCACGGCGGGCTGTCGGCAGCCACCGACCTGGAGCTGCTGGCCCGCATCGACCGACACCGGGTGCCCGCCAGCTCGCCTCGCGCAACACCCCACCAACCTCGCCACCCCCGCCGTAACTCCCCCCACTCCCCATCACCCTCACCATCCCGCCAAGCCCCCACCCCTCCGTCACACCCGCTCACCACAAGCCACCGCAACACCACCACCGCCCCATCACCCGCACCCCTCCATCTCTCTCTCCCACTCCCTCAACACCCCCACCGCCCATCACCCCCACCTCCCAATCCCACGACTCCCCCCATTGCACCCCCACCACCACACCACTCCCCGGCTGACGATGACGCCCACCGCGCGGAGTTTCCTTGCATGCTGCTCCCCTTGCTGCCCTCCCACCTAAAAGTCCGTCGGGGCTGCACACGCCGGGGGTGGTTGGGGATCTCCGTCTCTGTCTGCGCAGTACGTGTCGGCTCTCAGGCCGCCCAAGCGACGGACGAATCGGGGCCTCGACGCTCCTCCTGCCGACTCCTCTCCCTCGTCGTCCCCTCGTCAACAGCGCTCCGCCCACTCCTCCGTGTCCGACGACGTCAACTTCGACGAGGAGTGGAAGCAGGTCGCGTGGGGCGCGGGGTCCACGCGGCCGTGTCCGGCGTCGGAATGGCTGCGTCGGAGATGATTGAGACCTGGGTTCAAGCCCCGGGTCTGGGTTGCTCTCCACCTCACTTTTACTCTTCTGTCCCTCTGACCCACTCTCGCTGCTGTCTCACAGGCAGTCGGAAGATCATACAGCAACTCCACACTCTCACTTTCTCTCTCACTCTCTCAGTCTCTCTCTCTCGCTCACTCTCTCAGTCTCTCTCTCTCGCTCACTCTCTCACTCTCTCTCTCACTCTCTCTCACTCTCTCACTCTCTCTCTCACTCTCTCACTCTCTTTCTCACTCCTCACTCTCTCTCGCTCAATCTCTCACTCTCTCTCTCACTCTCTCTCACTCTCTCACTCTCTCTCTCACTCCTTCTCACTCTCTCACTCTCTCACTCTCTCTCTCACTCATTCTCACTCTCTCTCGCTCACTCTCGCTCACTCTCTCACTCTATCACTCTCTCACTCTCTCTCTCTCTCACTCTCTCAGTCTCTCTCTCTCACTCTTTTTTTTTACGATCAGAGGAAAGTGCCGGTGTAGTCGGCACTTTGCTTCGTTCATCATTTCGTTTTTTTTTATTTAAATGTTTTGCTTTATGTAAAACCCCCCCTCTCTCATTCTCCGACTCTCACTCTCCCTCTCCAACTCTCTCTCGCTAGGTGGTGGACGTGCTGTGGAGTGACCCCGTGCCCCAGGAGGGCTGCACCCCCAACTTGTACCGCGGTGGGGGCTGCTACTTCGGGCCGGACGTGACGCGCCACATGCTGCATCGCCACGGCCTGCAGCTGCTGGTGCGGTCCACACGAGTGCAAGCAGGAGGGATACGAGCGCACGCACGGTGGCCAGGCGAGTCCGTCCACCCGTCCGTCCGTCCATCCACCCGTCCGTCTGTCCAACGTGTTCATCCGTCCATCCGTGTGTTCATCTGTTTGTCCAGCAGCCAGGTGAGTCCATCCGTCCGTGCGGCCATCCATCACTCCGTTCGTCCGTCCGTCCATCTGTCCATCCATACATTTGTCCGCTCATCCTCTCGCCTTTCCATCCGTCCACGTATTCATGTGGCCGTTCGTCTGTCTCTCCGTGTGTCCGTCCGTCCACGTGGCCGTCCGTCGGCCCGTCCGTCTGTCCATCCCTCCGTCCGTTCGTCCACCCGTCCGCTCGCCTGTCTGTCTGTCCGTCGATCCATGTGTTCATCCGTCCATCTGTGCGTCCGCCCGTTTGTCAATCTGTCCATCCATCTGTCCATGTTGTCCATCAGTCTGTACAGGGGGTGACGATCACTCTCGTAGCGATCATCCGATATGAATAAAACTCGAGTTTAGAGTCGCGAGGAAGCCAGATAACATTGATTCAAGGGCTAATGTTCCAAATTTGGCAAAAAAATAAACCGGAGCTAAAAGGATCCTCACGCTTGCCAGCCACGGTGAGCGCAGGCGAGCACACGCCGACGCAAACGCACTCACTGCGATCGCCGCCAGACGGCGGAGGCGAGGGTTGGCCGATCGCACAAACGTTTGTGAAGCTCCCGTCCCAGCTGGATGCCGTGTACCCTCGCTCGCCAGGAGATGGCGGCTCAACGAGCATGGACTCCTCTCCCTCTGTCCCATCTGTACGGGGTGGAGTGTTGTGCTGCCTCGCGTCCGTGAGTTTTCTCTGGGGGTGCTCTGATTTTCTCCCGCATTCATTAACGCTCTTGAATTGCCCTAAAACATCTGCATACATCGAGGACCGCAGAGCTTGGGAAATTGTTGGCAGCTGCCTTTCTGCTTGTCTCCGCGGTTCCTCGTGCCTCCGACCCGAACGTTGTGTGCGCTCTCCAAGTTGAAATCCTCGTCGTTGTTATTAAGTCGTTGCCGCAGCGTTTGCTATTTGTACGCCGGAGTGACGTCCCAAATGTGCTGAATGGCACCGCAAATTAATCGAGTGGAATCGTAGAAAGCAGTCATCATCATCATCATCACCCCCCACTGTAAGACCTGGCAGGAGCCTCATGGAAACAACTCATTCAAACATCTACCCGTTCATTCACCCACCCACCTACTGACTCACCCACTCAATCAATGACCGAGCCACTCACCCACTCACTCACCCACTGAATCAATCACCCACCCACCCACTCCCTCACCCACCCACCCACTCCACCCACTCCACCCACCCACTATCAACCCCTCACTCCTGCACCCAATCCACCACTCGCGTGGCACAGGCTTCTCCTGGACGAGCGACCGGCGGTTGTGACCGCACCGCTGTTGCTGCTTCATCCCCCGCAGGTCATCACAATCTTCTCTGCCTCCAATTACTACGAGGTGGGCAGCAACCGCGGGGCCTACATGCGCCTGGGGCCCGAGCTCACGCCCAGCTTTGTGCAGTACCAAGTGGGCAAGGCCACTCGCAAGCTCACCCTGAGACAGAGGTGCCCTCGCACAGACACAAGCAGAGCCCAATATCCACACACACACACACAAAGATCCCCCGTGTAGCCCGTAACAGACTGTTGGGCCAAGTGCCGCTCGCGAGCACCGATGAAAGCCGGCACGGCACACGAGGGGGTGGGTGGCCAGCACCACGCCCGACCGCCTTTGTCTCCCTAGTGGCGATGTTTACACACCGTACCAGGTACTCTTTTAAGGCTGAGCCGACCTATGGGGAGGCCCAGGACCGGTTCAGATAATCGTCACTTGGTGTTGGACGAGTCAACGGGTATTGATTCCGCTCCCCACACGTGTACACACACACAACAACAACCGCCATTCGCCACTAAGTGGCGGTGACGTCACCACGATGCTTGTGCCATACACACACACACAAACATACACACACACACAAACATACACACACACAAACATACACAACAACAACCGCCATTCGCCACTAAGTGGCGGTGACGTCACCACGACGCTTGTGTCAGGCCATGTGCACCTTGAGGCCACGTGAAGTGTCGAACGCCCGCTGGCAGGAGGTCACGGGGCAGACCCAGGTGCCACGGGTCGACTGACTGAGATGACTTGCTGATGCACCACCTGTGCCCCCTACTGTGCCAACCTGCTGTGCTTTAGCCACCCGGCGCTCCGCTCGTTGTTGTGAGTGTCGCTCCTCCGCCCTCCGTTGTTGTTGGAGGGCGACTGCCTCCAACTGCCCAGTAGCGTCCTTCACGAGCCTCCTCCACAGAGGCCGATCTTGACACCGCTGGTACCAGTCATCGGCAAGTCCACTCAGCTCCACGTCCTCCTGTACCCACATCACTCCAATTCTTCTCTAGCCCGTGCCACGCCCGTTTAGTCCCCTCAATCCGGCCGAACAAAAACTGTTTCGGCATGCGGTGGCTGGGCATGCAGGCTACATGACCCAGCCAACGCAGCCTTGCCTGCCGGAGGAGCTCACTGATGGGACCTTGCCCAGATCTTTCAAGGATTTGTGAGCTCCTCACACAATCCAGCCTGGTTAAACCCAGGATGGATCGTAGGCAGGCTAGCCTAAATGTTTTTAACCGGCGAAGATGTTCCATTAAGGGGGTCCACGTTTCGCAAGCGTAGAGAAGGGAGGGAATGACCGTGGCCGAGAAGACCTGAAGCTTAGTGCGGAGCGACAGACCAGGTAGCTTCCACACAGCGTTACGCAACCGATGAAAAGATATTGCCGCTCGACTGATTCGGAGTGAGACCTCTGCTGTTAAACTGGAGCCGGTCATTAGCACACTGCCCAGGTATGGGAAACTCTCCACTCTCTCCACAACTGCCCCATCACCGATTGGGAGTTGTGGGGATGGAGTGTCCAATGGTACAAAATACCCAGGCAGGCGCTTAGTTTTGGTGGGGCTGATGGTAAGGCCCCATCTCCTAGTGGCACGCTCCAGTCTCAGCAGCAGCATCTTCAACTCCTCCTCTGAATGAGCAGCTATTACCAAATCATCGGCATACATAACGTGGTTGAGCAATAGGGAGCCATCCCTTGACTGCACCCGGTCATCGATCAGCCTCCCATTATATCTGTACCAAATGGAGATTCCCCCGGTACAGCTATTGAAGGCTTCACGAACTACGTGGTCAAAATAGATGTTAAATAATGTGGGAGCCAGAGGACATCCCTGTCGCACCCCAAGGTGTACAGGGAATGGCTCTGACTCCCGGCCACGTAGTTTTACCCGCGCCCGCTCACCATCATGAAGGTCCTTAATGATCGTGAGCAGGGGGTCAGGGACTCCAAAGCACGAACAACCCAGAGCCCAGGCCTACTGATGGTATCATTGGCCTTGACGAGGTCAATAAAGCAGAGATGTAGGTCTTGTTGGAATTCCCTACACCTCTGCTATAGCAGACGGACACAAAATATAGCATCTGTGCAGGACCGCCCTTTCCTGAAACCGCATTGGGGCTCCGCAAGCCCCTCTCCTCAGCGTGCCTGGCAAGGCGATGTTGATAATCCTTGCCAGGACCTTTCCCGGCACACGTGTACACACACACACACACGTGTGCACACACACACGTGTACACACACACACGTGTACACACACACGTGTACACACACACGTGTGCACACACACACACACGTGTACACACACACACATACGTGTACACACACACATACGTGTACACACACGTGTACACACACACACGTGTACACACACACGTGTACACACACACACACACACGTGTACACACACACGTGTACACACACACGTGTACACACACACACGTGTACACACACTACACACACGTGTACACACACCCATGTGTGCCATGCCTTGCAGGGTGAGCGCTGTGGAGCAGTCGGCCATGCGGCCCTGCAGGAGAAGCTGCTCGCTCACCGCAGTCAGCTGATGGCCGCCTTTGAGCGTGCGGACCCTGAGCACACCGGTCGGTCGCTTCAACGCGCCTCATGTCGTTATTATTGTTGTTATTGTTGTCGTTATTATTGTTGTTGTCGTTATTATTGTCTCCTCCCCCCTTTCTACCCCCTCTCTCTCTCTCTCCCACTTCTCTCACACCCCCCTTTCTCTCCCCCCTCTCCCCCCCTCGCCCCCTGTCCCCGTGTGTGGCCAGGCTGGTGCCCGTATCGGAGTGGGCGCTGCTCGTGGAGCAGGAGCTGCAGCTGGGGCTGCCGTGGCGCTTGCTGCACCAGCAGCTCGCGGGGCCACCAGGGGGCGGCGGCGGTGCCGCCGAGGCGCCCGGCGGCTCCGTCGCCTACGCCGGCTGCTTCCCCGAGCGGCACGCCGGGCAGACGCAGCTGCACTCGGTGCGCGGAGACCGGCGCCGGCAGCGCGACGGTGGCGGTGTTGATGTTGGTGGTCTGGTGGTAGCGGTGGTGGTAGGCGTGTGGTGGTGGTGGTGGCAGTGCTGATTGTGGCGGCCGTGTCGGCGGTGTTGGCGGTGGTGTTCGTGGTCAGACCCAAAGGTGCAATGTTTCAAGCCTCGCTCGAAGGAGTACGGCACTCGGCATCAACGACGCAGTGGCACCACGGGAGGGTGCGAGCGAGGGCCGCTGTTGCGACCGTGCCGTTGGGGCCGCTGTTGCGACCGTGCCATTGGGGCCGCTGTTGCGACCGTGCCATTGGGGCCGCTGTTGCGACCGTGCCGTGAGGGCCGCTGTTGTGATCGTGCCATTGCAGGGCATGCAGCCGGGACTCCTAGAGACGATCTACCGGCACCGCAGCAGCCTCGAGTCCATCTTCCACGCCATCGACCAAGACCACTCGGGTGGGCACGGCCACGAGAGCCACGAGAGCGTCCCTCCAGTAGTCGTCCTCACTTCCACGCTCACGTCTTGAGAGTCACCCCTCGCTACCGAGCATCACGAGTTTCCGCTCCTGCCTCACAACTCGCTTATTGTTCTCTAGCTCACCCCACGACCCCCCCTTAATCTCCCTCTCATAGCCACCACCACCATTCCTCTTCATATTCTCATTATATCACTCATTTCCCATTCATTCAGAATTATTATTATAATAATAATTCTCATCATATGGCTATCATTCATTCACCCCAATCATCATCATCATCATCTATTGTCATCAATTTCTCTTTCACCGAAATCACGCATCACAGATTCGCCCCCATTGCTTCCCTCTCGTCCATTTCATTCATCGCATCTCCACCATTACATTTACACACGAGTTGTTGTTGTTGTCGTTGTTGTACCGTTGTTAACTCTTTGTAAAGCCCCTTGGTTAAGGCGCTGTGTAAATTGCGTTTAAGATGATATCCCGAGTCCACAGTTCGATTCGTGGGCGAGGCCGCCACGTTAATGATCTGGCCAAGATTGGTGTCGTAAGGCCCTCCGCCGCCCGAACACAGCCAGACGAATTCATCCGTCTGGCGGCGCTTTGGCGTCGTAACGGCGAGGCGCCGGTCATCGCCATTGTTCCGGCTCTCGCCCCGGCGAAGCTGAAGGAGGATGGCTCTGGGCAGGGTTGTCATGTTTGTGAGAATCCGTTGCCTGGCTGTGAATACCGACCGCTCGTCACATTGCCCCTGTAAGTTGCGGTGCGATACCCATGACGGACGCTTCTCCCGTGCCTCGCGATTTTCAGCTCTGACCCCGTGTGCGAGTCTCCTCCACGTGTCTCCACGTGTCCCCACGTGCCCCCCGTGTCCCCACATGCCTCCGTGTCTCTATCTGAGCAAGTCTCATCTCGCTCCACATCTCCGCCTATTTCCGTGTCTCTCCTCCTAGCCAGACCTCATCTCGTTTCCGTGTCTCCACGTGTCTCCACGTGTCTCCGTGTGTCTCTCCGCCTCTCCATGTGTCTCTCTGTGTCTCCGTGCATCTCCCTGTATCTCCCTGTATCTCTCTTTCTTCGCGTGTCTACGCGTGTCTCTCCCCCGCCCCGATGCAGGCCTCATCTCCTTCGAGGAGTTCCGCCAGGCGTGGCGCCTGCTGAGCTCTCACGTGCAGGAGGGCGTCAGCGATGACGACGTCCTCGGCCTCGCCCGCTCCATCGACTTCAACCAAGACGGCTCCATCGACTTCAACGAGTTCCTCGAGGCATTCCGCCTGGCCGAAAAGCCGCAGTAGCCACCCCCGCAGCCGCACCGAGGGAGACGGAGCGGCGGAATCGTGGAGCGTCGATGGATCGCCACCGTCTCTCCCCCTCTCCCGCTCCGGGCGTCTTCCGTGGACGTGCCGTGCGATTTTCGCGACGCCGCCGCCAATAATTGTCCCCCTCCCCGCCCCCACGGGTTTTTGGTTGACGCTCGTGACGGGCCTGCGGTGGAAATTCCACATTCACGGGGCAGGCGGCCAGTCTGGTCCACTCCATTTGGGTGGCCGCTGTTAACGTACCCACCCCGGAGGGATGATGAGTCAACCCTCATGCAGGATTTGAACTCGCTACCGACTCCGTGTTTTACCAAGATCCACACGAAGACGTCGGTGATGCCACGACCGCTACCACCGCCACGACCACCACCACCGCCACCACCACCACCACCTCTACCACCACCACCACCACCACCTCTACCTCCACACTGCCATCGCTCTCCAGCCTCCGTCAGATCCCGCAGCAGCAGTAGCTGCTGCGCAGGAATGAGATGCACAGCGACCTCCTCCAAGAGCCTTACGTTAGCAATTGGACACCTCCGTTTGGAACTCTCGGCGGGAAGCAGCGCCACCTCCCTGTGCAGGAGGGAGAAAGGTTCGTGGAAGTCGACGCCTGGGTCCCACTTCCCATGCCTGCTTCATTGGCCTCTTCATCCCCATTGAGGGCGAGCACATTGAAGGTGTCTTGCAAGCAGACACTAAAACTCGTGTTTGCATTCGCACCGCTACAATCGGCCAAATCTCGTGGCACAACTGTGGTTGACACGATGCTCGTGTCGGGAGCAGTGACGCAATAGTTGGCACGCTTGCCCTTTGAACTCGGTAAGCTGAGTTCAATTCCCGGCTATGGCTAACATCTGTGGCAAATTACCAGAATGGTGACGTTTGGTCAGACCAGCTTCTATGATGGACACAGCGCAGGGAGGCCTTCATCCAGCAGCAGATTGACAAAGTGCCGTGATTTTGTTAAATTTCAGTTTGTGTGTTCATCAACGACTGGGCTGAGACCACCAGCCCATTCATCTTGAGAAGCCACTTTATTAAATCTGACATCTAAACACAATGGTATCTTAATTCTGTCTCAACCAAGGGACACATGGTGAGCCAGCAAGTACCCCTTTCCCCCTCTGTTCGCCCTGCCCACTTTTGCAAGCACCACCTCCTTGGCCACTTGCACCACCCCCTCAGCCACTAGCACCGCCCCCACAAGGGTTAAGTGGCTCCCCATTGGTCCCCGCCGAACGCCCGCATCGTGATTCCGGAGCACGCGGCCAGGGCATCAGGAAAGGAGACCGGCGACAAAGTTCGGACTTTTCCCAAAAAATATTTAGTGGGGAAATATTTTTTGGTGGTTTTACACTCTACGTGCGGCTTGTAGAGTCCTTGCTGGAGGGGATGCAGCATATGCAGAGTGGTTTATTTATGGGCCGGGGCTACGGTCCCCAATGATGCACGGTGAGAAATGTCATCTTGGGCACCGAAGTCCCCTAACTCCTACGCCCTGAACCCTTAAACACGAACCCCTAACCCCAACTTCCAACCGTCATCTTTAACCCCAATCCCTGAAGCTCTAGTCGTAACCCTTACCTCCACACCGCTAAATTTAACCATTCCACCTAACCACTAAAACCTAAATCGTAAAAACTCCTCACCCTAACCCCTGGTCCTAAACCCCAACTCGAAAACCGTAACCCTAATCCATAACCTCCAATCCTTACCCGACAATTCTGCAGAGAAACCGAATGAGTGGCAAGGGTTGATCGGAATGGACCGCGAATGGGTCAGCGCTCACCCCATCAAGGTCTGTGATTGGACGACATGGGGAGGGGGGGGGGTGCAGGCACAATCCAAAGAAGGCCTGTGATTGGACGAAAATGTGCTCTGCGATTCGATCAAATTCTTGCCTACGTATTCTTTGGTTCTTTCGGTAAAGTCACGTAGATAGAAAAAATAATACAAATAAAGTGAATAAAAACATCACGACGTTTCGATCGCAACACAAGCGGTCGTCATCAGGGAAAGGCGTTATCCTCTAAAGGCAAACGGTTTATAAAGGTTTGGAGATGGGCGTAGCCCAAGTTTGTCAGCAGTACCAGCAGTATGGGCAGAGCAGCAATGCCAATGCAGCAGCAATGTCAATGCAGCAACAATGCCAATGCAGCAGCAATGCCAATGCAGCAGCAATGCCAATGCAGCAGCAATACCAATGCAGCAACAATGCCAATGCAGCAGCAATGCCAATGCAGCAGCAATACCAATGCAGCAACAATGCCAATGCAGTAACAATGCCAATGCAGCAGCAGCAATGCCAATGCAGCAGCAATGCCAATGCAGTAACAATGCCAATGCAGTAACAATGCCAATGCAGCAGCAATGCCAATGCAGCAGCAATACCAATGCAGTAACAATGCCAATGCAGTAACAATGCCAATGCAGCAGCAGCAATGCCAATGCAGCAGCAATGCCAATGCAGTAACAATACCAATGCAGCAGCAATGCCAATGCAGCAACAATGCCAATGCAGCAGCAATGCCAATGCAGCAACAATGCCAATGCAGCAGCAACGTCAATGCAGCAGCAATGCCAATGTAGCAGCAATGCCAATGCAGTAACAATGCCAATGCAGTAACAATGCCAATGCAGCAAAGGGCAGCCAGGAAATCACTGCACCCCGCTCCACACACCACACTGCTGACGGTGGAGGTTGATTGACAAACAAACACAAGTCAAGTCATGACCCAAAGTGGTTGATGACATCTTTCCAATGATTGCTGAGTCTACAGCCTTCCTCTCGGTTGAAATTGTATCTGTTTGTATATATGGATGACTTCATGAACGAATCTTTGTTGACAGCCAGTAGGCTTGCAAAGCACCATCGTCTTAGAGAAATCAATTTCGTGTGAGCCAGCCGCATTAAAATAACGATCACCCACGGCAGTAGTATTGGTCCTACCGTGTTTAAAATCTGCCTTATGTTCACCAACACGGTCCGAGACATGTCACATGGGCGATGCGCGACCTAGGCACTTGGGCCCGGACGTGAGCGGTTCCGGCCGGATGGGCTCGCATGCCACAAGACGGCTCTGTTGTGCGTGGTTCACAGTGGCCACCGCGGCCAGCCAAAATAAAGAAATAAAGAAGTGCTGCTGTTCTGGTCAAATTTGCCCGTTGCTTTCACCCCCCCCCCCCCCCCCCCCCCCCCCCCCGAGTGCTTCACGGTGCTGTGCTCGCCACGGAGCGGTGGGGCAGCAAGGGCGGCCCCGGTGAACCTTCGCCGTGCGAAGGTTCACCGGGGGTGCCCGCGCCTCTTCCAGTTAGCCGTGGCCCTGAGCCAGCGGTGGAAATTCTGCATTTTCAAGGTGGGGTCAGGACATCCATAGGACTTCCCGCGAAGGGGGTGTACTGTGCCACTAAATCGGCTGAGTTCACAGCGATGATGTTAATGAAGATCTGATTAGCCGTGATGAACTTCAGTTATATAGATATATATAGCGCCTTATTGCAAGGGGCTTTACGTCAATTGTGCACAAGATGGTAGTGGTTGAAATAAAAAGAGGGGTTATTAGACATAATTATATACAAAAATCACGACAAAACTCGTGGTGTTCGTTGAAAATAAGAGAATATTTTATTTTATATCTGAAGTGCACACGTGCAGGCTATGTAAAGTCCTTAGCAAACATTCCCCCAAAATGCTTTGCATCGTAAATTAGCCACACACCACATTTAGAGAAGAAAATTAAAATAACAACACAGAGCACGACGAGACGAGAGGCCAGGAAGATGCGTGGCAAGTGGCTGGAGGCCATCGCCGCTTCGTCCCCATCACGAACTCGCTGCGGAGACTCTGAAGCACCCCACATGTCATGCACGGCAATGTTTGTTGGTAGATCACTGCAACTTTGAAAGTATGGCCAAGGCATTTCTGGCACGCCCGACTCGAGCGTGTGGTGGGGGTGGTGGTGGTGGTGGTGATCCGGCGTGCCCTTCCTTCCCCACATCAGTCTCATCTCATCCTCCTTGGTACCAAATATTCCTAACAACCTTTTTTCATAGGGCAACAGGATCGATGTAGGGTACATTTACACTGGGTTATTATCGATCGAAGGCTAGTGGTAGTGCCTTACACCGGTAAATCCAACCCCAAGGCAGCCGAGCGGCAGCGGTCCGGAAAGACCTCGAGTTGTGAATCGCGACCCTGGTGTGTGTGCCGTGCGTTGAACTTCTTTCGCACCGCACACAGCCAACCGTGCTAACCGGAGGTGCGGGAGGAACAATAACAAACTTAAACAGGACAACAGGCAGCCTAAAGCAAAAACACTGAGTTTTCAATCCTGGCGATTTCAAAGAGCGTACAGCTCCAGCCAGCGGCTTCCCGTGGCGGTCGGTGGCGTCGCAGGGCAGCGCGGCATCGTGGACATGCCCTGCTGGGGTGCTGCGTGGAGGGTCAGAGGGAGGGCACGGCCCTGCGGTGCCACGCGTGATGGTCTTCCCCGCTGCACGGCACTACGATGCCGGCTGTCAATTTTTTGTTTGACTCCGCAGGACTCGACCCCCCATATCGATTAAAACCGGGCCGGTGCTCGCACCAAACGTTGAGACGCACTTCGGGCCATCGAGCCGACCGACGCACGCTTGCCGTGACAATCATGAGCACCGTGAATTAATGTTGATGAATTATAAAACAACGGTCCTGTTAATGTCACGGCGTCGTAGGCTTCCCTCGGCCTATAAGCTTTTCGCTTTTTTTTTATTCGTAAGTGATTTTTGGGGCGAGACCACACGACCTGATGATCCGGCCAAAAGTGTCGTCAAACGGTCCTTCCCTCCGCCACCCAACGCAGCCAATTTGCGTCATCACGTGGCGCACGACGCCTTTGATGGGGCGCCGCCTCATTCCGTCGTTTTAGCTTCCTCGGCGTGCACGAGTGGGAGAGCTCATTGCTCAGGGCCACGAATCTTAGCGAAATGTCGCTCACTAACTCACCCACAGTGAGAGAGTTTGTGAGTGTGGGTGAGAGTTACTCTCTAACTCACCCACGGTGAGAGAGTTGGTGAGTGTGAGTGAGAGTTACTCTCTAACTCACCCACAGTGAGAGAGTTGGTGAGTGTGGGTGAGAGTTACTCTCTAACTCACCCACGGTGAGAGAGTTGGTGAGTGTGAGTGAGAGTTACTCTCTAACTCACCCACGGTGAAAGAGTTGGTGAGTGTGAGTGAGAGTCACTCTCTAACTCACCCACGGTGAGAGAGTTGGTGAGTGTGAGTGAGAGTTACTCTCTAACTCACCCACGGTGAGAGTGTTGGTGAGTGTGAGTGAGAGTTACTCTCTAACTCACCCACAGTGAGAGAGTTGGTGAGTGTGAGTGAGAGTTACTCTCTAACTCACCCACAGTGAGAGAGTTGGTGAGTGTGGGTGAGAGTTACTCTCTAACTCACCCACGGTGAGAGAGTTGGTGAGTGTGAGTGAGAGTTACTCTCTAACTCACCCACGGTGAAAGAGTTGGTGAGTGTGAGTGAGAGTCACTCTCTAACTCACCCACGGTGAGAGAGTTGGTGAGTGTGAGTGAGAGTTAATCTCTAACTCACCCACGGTGAGAGTGTTGGTGAGTGTGAGTGAGAGTTACTCTCTAACTCACCCACAGTGAGAGAGTTGGTGAGTGTGAGTGAGAGTTACTCTCTAACTCACCCACAGTGAGAGAGTTGGTGAGTGTGAGTGAGAGTTACTCTCTAACTCACCCACGGTGAGAGAGTTGGTGAGTGTGAGTTACTCTCTAACTCACCCACAGTGAGAGAGTTGGTGAGTGTGAGTGAGAGTTACTCTCTAACTCACCCACAGTGAGAGAGTTGGTGAGTGTGAGTGAGAGTCGCTCTCTAACTCACCCACAGTGAGACAGTTGGTGAGTGTGAGTGAGAGTTACTCTCTAACTCACCCACGGTGAGGGAGTTGGTGAGTGTGAGTGAGTGTTACTCTCTAACTCACCCACAGTGAGAGAGTTGGTGAGTGTGGCAGTTACTCTCTAACTCATCCACAGTGAGAGAGTTGGTGAGTGTGAGTGAGTGTCGATCTCTAACTCATCCACGGTGAGAGTTGGTGAGTGTGAGTGAGAGTTACTCTCTAACTCACCCACAGTGAGAGAGTTGGTGAGTGTGAGTGAGTGTCGATCTCTAACTCACCCATATTGAGAGAGTTGGTGTGAGTGAGTGTCGCTCTCTAACTCACCCACAGTGAGAGGGGTGGTGAGTGTGAGTGAGAGTTACTCTCTAACTCACCCACGGTGAGAGAGTTGGTGAGTGTGAGTGAGAGTTACTCTCTAACTCACCCACGGTGAGAGAGTTTGTGAGTGTGAGTGAGAGTTACTCTCTAACTCACCCACGGTGAGAGTTGGTGAGTGTGGGTGAGAGTCGCTCTCTAACTCAACCACGGTGAGAGAGTTGGTGAGTCTGAGTGAGAGTTACTCTCTAACTCACCCACAGTGAGAGGGTTGGTGAGTGTGAGCGAGAGTCGCTCTCTAACTCACCCATGGTGAGAGAGTTGGTGAGTGTGAGTGAGAGTCGCTCTCTAACTCACCCACGTGAGTAGAGTTGGTGATTGTGAGTGAGAGGTACTCTCTAACTCACCCACAGTGAGAGAGTTAGTGAGTGTGAGAGTTACTCTCTAATTCACCCACGGTGAGAGAGTTGGTGAGTGTGAGTGAGTGTCGCTCTCTAACTCATCCACGGTGAGAGAGTTGGTGAGTGTGAGTGAGTGTCGCTCTCTAACTCACCCACAGTGAGAGAGTTGGTGAGTGTGAGTGAGAGTTACTCTCTAACTCACCCACGGTGAGAGAGTTGGTGAGTGTGAGTGAGAGTTACTCTCTAACTCACCCACAGTGAGAGAGTTAGTGATTGTGAGTGAGTGTCGCTCTCTAACTCACCCACGGTGAGAGGGTTGGTGAGTGTGAGTGAGAGTTACTCTCTAACTCACCCACGGTGAGAGAGTTGGTGAGTGTGAGTGAGAGTTACTCTCTAACTCACCCACGGTGAGAGAGTTGGTGAGTGTGAGTGAGAGTTACTCTCTAACTCACCCACAGTGAGAGCGTTGGTGAGTGTGAGTGAGAGTTACTCTCTAACTCATCCACGGTGAGAGAGTTGGTGAGTGTGAGTGAGAGTTACTCTCACAAATTTGGCCGGATCATTGTGTAAGTGGCATCGCATAAAAATCAGCTACGAATAAAAGTAAAAAAAATCGGCTGCAAAAATCTGCGGCGACGTTCAGACAACAACGAAATGTGCTCTGCACTCCCTTGAGAAGTTGCTCCAACGATTCGAATTCGGGGCGCCGCGAAAATCCGCACTCGTTACTGCGAACAGCTGAGGCCGAGTTACATTAAATCGGTACAAAATGAGGCGCTTGACAGAACGTTTTCCCTCTTTGCCAGGGCGGATGGTGTTCTTTTTTTTAATTCGGCAATTCCGCACCTTTCAATCGGCCGATTCGGCTGTGTTTCTGTCTTGTACATCGAATCTTTTGTTTGTTTGCCGCGTCGATTGAAAAATCTGAAGAATTGGAGTCACTCAGAACACAGGCCCATGCTGGCTGCCTGTGGCAGGCCAACTCCGATATAAATTCCACGTACGAGAGTCTCAGGTTCCCTTAACTCGGTAGTTATTTCACATTTGTGTCGTTTTGTGTTTGTGCTTGGCCGGACTTCCAGCACGGAGAGAAGATGCACTGGACGAGTTCGTCAACTGCAGTCGACCCCGCATGAGCCTGCCCCTTCTCATCGTCGTAAATTAACAACCTCTGACGCTTATGATGCGCACACACAAGACAAAGATCCCCCGTGTAGCCCAAACAGAGTGTTGGGGCAAGTGCTGTTAGCGAGCCACCTATGAAGGCCGGCACGGCACACGAGGCGGTGGGTGGCCAGCACCACGCTCGGACGCCTTTGTCTCCCCAGTGGCGATGTTTACACATCGCACCAGGTACTCATTTAAGGCTGAGTCGACCTACGGGAGGCTGCGGACCGGTTCAGATCAGATAATCGTCACTGGGTGTTGGTGGCCGTGAGCGGGAATCAAATCCGGGTCGCTGGATTTGTGGCGCAGCGCGCTAACCACTGCACCACCGCTCCCCACACGCACTCGTGCTGTCGGTTATGCTACAAGGAATTGGATGAATCACCAAAATGATGACGTCATGTGAACATCGTGACGTCATTGTGACCATCGTGCCATCAATTAATCCACAGAGTACTGAACGTGGTGGCAACTAATTATCCACGATTTTCGTGAAATAAATTTTTTCGCCAAGAGATTAAATATTTCAGAAGAACTTAACGGGCGACGACGATTCTGTCCCTAGGGGATCTTGTTCCGTGCGTTGCGGCATCGCCAAATTATCAACAGCAACCCTCGATAGGACGGCATTCGAAATCTGCGATGATCAACCGATAAACATCCGAGACTCGCTGTACTGAACTTGGCAAGCTAAAATCATAAAATTATATATATGTTAAAAAAAAACCTCTCTTACACCCCATAGTCCGTTAAGAAACCAGAAATATGAAAATAAAAAAATATATAAAGTTAAATCAGAAGCCGGTACAGAAACGAATGCAACCCGCTACGAACAGGGGTCGTGCGATGGAATGACTTTGATGTTCGGAAGCAAAAGCGGCCAACCTGACGAGAACAACACAAACCGTGGCCCGCGCCCAGCACGGCGCGGTGCAATCGCCCACCGTGCTCGCGAACCAGCCACACCAAACAAACTGCCGCGCCTTACATCGAAAGGTGCAACGCCACCCACGATTAAGATTAATCAAGATTAATCTCCGTTACTGCAAAGCGTCTTCGGGGGTTGCAACTTGGGATTAAGTGCATTATTATTAGTAGTATTATTCCGCAGCCCCCCCAACATTTGTAGAGTACAAGCTTTGTCAGTTTACTTGAACAGCAGTCAAAATTAATGCCCTCTTAATGACACAGCAAAGCCTCGCTGATTATCCCGAGGCTAATTTTGAAGAGCCGGTGAGAACGGACGTCTGGGTTTGAGACCCCCTCTCCCCAGGTTCTGGGTGTCTCTGCCTTCTCTTGGGAGGTTCTCTTGGCCGCGTTCGGAGACGCCGAGCTCTCACCCCATGGCACCCCGCGGGTGTCAAGGGCTTCATAATGGCTACGTAATAGCCATTGAGCCGGCAGTCACTGACATCCTGGGCTTGAGCCCTGGCTCTCAAGGTGTCTTGCTCTCAGGGGGTTCAGAATGGCCGCGTCGGAGACGCCGAGCCACCGCTTGTGACTTGGCGTCGAATTTGACGCGTTGTGAGTAGACGCGGGCATTGCTATCGACACATTTCAGTCTGTTAATGCATTGTGTAAATCATCCGACCTGAAGTTTTCCCTGGGTTAAGACTCTGCGCGCCTACGCGCGCGCGTCAAATTAAACCTCCGCACAGAGTTCTGGGGAACTCTCCGCGCAAAAATCGGTGCACGCTACGAGCCGAATTAGAATCCCTGGACGTTGTGCAGTTTTAGCAAACTTTGATGTGATTTCCAGATTCTTCACGTGGCTCGTCTTTAATGAGAATCGTTCCGAGCTTGGAACGTTACGGCCGTAAGTGACCGTCACGCTCTCTGACAGGCTTAAGTGACCGGTACCATCACGTTCTTAATGTTCGGCTCCGTGTACGGCAAGTCCTCGCTTAACGCGCAGTGGTGTTCACGCTCGAACACGTTTTGGCGCAACGCCCCCCCCCCCCCCCGTTATAACGGGGAATGTGCCCCCCCCCCCCATTATAACGCGATTTCTGAGCGGCCAACGGCACACCACTTTCTTGAGCTGCGTGGATGATGAGCGGTACACTGATACAGTAACGCAGCGGCATATTCTCAGCTATTTGTCCCACCATCTCACCATGCGTGGGTACGTAGTCCGTCGCACCTCGCCAAACTTTACCGTTACATCACTTATGGCGAAATTGTTTTCGCTTAGCGCGTTTTTCGCTTTACGCGGAACTTTACAGAACCGCATCTACCGTGTTAAACGAGGACTTGCTGTATACACCTGTGTTAAAAAAAATATGTAATCATCCAAATCCCACGTGAATTTTAGACCACAATTGCATCTGCGGCCCCACTCGGCCCAGATGCATCAATGCAAATCGTGCGTCGCGATTCGCGTGTTGGTGGGAAGGCAGTTTCCACCCATTCTAGGTGGAAATCCCTGACCAAAATATTTTCTAGGCTCCGTTCATCCAGCGCCCGATTCTTGTGTCCATATGACGATATTTTTCTCGAGTGTGGAGAAGCAGCCAAATCTAGCGGAAAACCACACTGGAAGAATGGGCAAACTCAGCGGAGCTGCATTTCTGGATGTCCTATCCACGTTTTGGATGTTCGGGGAAAAATCCCGCCCGTGTTTTCCAATCCACGTGTCGACGGGAAACGCAAAATACCCGCCGATTTTAAATGCCCCCCAAAAAAAGAACGAGCCAAATATATTTTTTTACGAAAATACTAATCTCGAAGATATTGTAATTAAACATATCGACAACTGTCGTGGCTCTCCAGCAAGTTTTGACTTGCAGGGCCCTCCCACCGCTTGAAGGCCGTCACCCGGCGCTTGTCCCTATTCTTCCCCGCCCGGGGCACGTGGATGTCTCCGTGGACGTTTTGGCGGTGGCAGTGGTGGTGGGTGTCGGTGGTGGTGGTGGTGGTGAGTGGGTGGGTGGCAGTGGGTGGGTGGGTGGGTGGCGATGGTGGTGGGTGGGTGACGGCGGGTGGGTGGTGGTGGTGGCTGAGTGGCGGTGGTGGGTGGGTGACGGTGGGTGGGTGGCGGTGGTGGCTGGGTGGCGGTGGTGGGCGGGTGACGGTGGGAGGGTGACGGCGGGTGGCGGAGGCCCTCACAGGTCGGTGGCCGGCTGGGTGCCAGCTCCACGCTTGCGGAAGTAGCAGGCACTGCAGTGGAGGCGCCCCGACAGCATCCGCACGTCCATCCCCGTGCGCGCGTCCCCCAGCGAGCCCGAGCAGACCTCACACTGCGGGGGGCACACGGGGGGGGGGGGGGGGCAAGGGAGGGGGGAATTGATAAGAAACTCGCACGGTTGTGTGTGTATGTAGTGTGTAGTGTGTGTATGTAGTGTGTAGTGTGTGCATGCTAGTGTAGTGTTGTACAGTGTAGTGTATAGTGTAGTGCGTGTGGTGTGTGTATGCCAGTGTAGTGTATAGTGTAGTGTATAGTGTAGTATGTGTGTGCCTCGTCCGACACCTTGAAGCAGTCGATGTGGAAGAAGAGGTTGAGAGAGTCGATGAACATGGCCGCCCCATTGCCGATGGCGTTGCCACAGCTCCCGCACTCCTTCTTCTCGCCCGCGATCCTGCAGCCGACAAGCCCGCAAGGTGAGGGTGCAGCCCCTGCAACTGCTCACGCCGCCGCCGCTACCACTGCCACCGCTGGCGGAATCGCCTCCACTATAGGGGCAGAGCACCTCTCCAGCGGGGTTATTCGGCCAAGTCGTGATAACGTAGAGACCCATGGACTCGCAAAGAGACTCAGAGGGTCACAGAGACCCATGGACTCGCATTGAGACTCATAGAGTGAGGCAGAGACCCATGGACTTGCGTAGACTGGGTTTTGATTTAAACCGGGTGGTGCCCAAGCATAGCTGCTTGGGCATGCGGTGGCTGGGCATGCGGGCTACATTACCCAGCCAACGCTGATGATGGGACTGTGTCCAGATCTTTCAAGGATCTGAGAGCTCCTCACACAATCCAGCCTGGTTAAACCCAGGGTGGATCGTAGGCAGGCCAGCCTAGATGTTTCTAACCGGTGCAGATATTCCATTGTAGTGGTCCTCGTTTCACAAGCATAGAGAGTTAACGGCACGACTGTGGCCGAGAAGACCCGGAGCTTCGTGTGGAGCGACAGAGCCAGGTAGCTTCCACACAGCATGGGTGGGGGTGAGTGGAAACCGAACGGCTGCATCACTTTGAGCCGAATCTCTTAACAATTGCACGAAATCCTCATAAACAACATCGTCACGACGATGTCGCGTTGCTTGCCCCCCGCGTGTGCTCACTTGGCCGGGCTGTAGCTGGTTCCGCCATATCCCGACAGCGACGAGTAGGCAGAGCCGAGCGTGCTGCTACCTCCGCCGCCGCCCCCGTACCCCCCTCCGAAGCTCGTGCCGCCGTAGCCGGAGCTTCTCGCCATCGTGTGCGTGGGACTTCTCGGCACGTTGTAACCGCTGCCCGCCGCCGCCGCCGTAGCCGCCGCCGCCGCCGTAGCTGCCGTGGCTGGACCCGTAGCCGGGGCTTCTGGTCGTGCCGTAGTTGACGCTGTACGTCGCGCTGTAGCTCGGGCTGCCGGAGCCGAATCTGGAACCGCTGCCGCCATAGCCGCCGCCGCCGGAGCTGCTGGAAAAGTTGTGGTAGTTGGGGCTGAGCGTCTGCCGCCCGTAGGAGCTGCTGCTGCTGCGGTAGGAGGAGGGACGCTGGCTGGCGTCACGGTAGGAGTAGGTGGGGCTGTGGTGCGAGGAGCCCATGGAGCCCACGGAGCCCGCGGAGCCCACGGAGCGGTCTGGAGACAGAGGTGGGGACGGCGATGATGACGACAACGACGATTATGACAACAATGATGACGGTGACGATTGTGAGGGTGATGATGACGACAATGATTATGACGACAACGATGACAATGACGACGATGACGACGACATTAATTAAAACTTGGCATCGTGCCGCAGAGTGCTTGCTGAATAAGACAACGACTGGGAGACGCGAGGGAGCCACAGACTGGCGGGGACGTAACGAGGCGGTGAGACGGCGCTAACAAACAGTTTCCCAAGCTCTGGTCTTCTATGTATGTTCCGGTGTTTTCAGCCCCGTTTGTGTTTAGACACGTGGGAGTAAATCGCTCCACCCCGAGAAAACCTACGTGTTGCGCTGGGGCGACACACTGACCCTGCAGATGGGATGGATGCCTTCTGCTGGCAAGCCAGGGTACAGACAGGCATAATAATGGCAATAACAATGATTCTGATATTAATATTCGTGACACTGACTATGGCTGGCACATCAACAATATCCGCTGTTTGCAACTAAGTGGCGGTAACGTCACCCCAGCACTTGTGCCAGGCTAGGTGCACTTTCAGACCATCACGTTAAGTAGGTTAAGTTAGTTTATTACGTTTTTGAGCCAGCTGGCCAGGATTGGGTAAAAAACTTAGACCCCAATTTTCACCCCCGCATTGGACACCACCTGGCGAAGTGTCTCGAAGGCTCGCTGCTGGCAAGAGGTCACAGGACGGACTCAGCAGGTGCCATGGGTCGACTGACTGAGATGACCGGCCGATGCACCACCTGTGCCCCCTACTGTGTCAACTGGCTGTGTTATAGCCGCCCGGCGCTCCGCTCGTTATTGTGAGCGTCGTTCCTCCGTCTTCCGTTGTTGTTGGAGGGCGACTGCCTCCAACTGCCCAGCAGCATCCTTCACGAGCCTCCTCCACAAAGGGCGATTTTGACACTGCTGATACCGGTCATCAGCAAGTCCACTCAGTTCCACATCCTCCTGTACCGCTTTAGTCCATCGCCTCTCCATGCCGTGTCGCGCCCGTTTAGCCCCCTCTATCCAGCCAAACAGAAGCTGCTTGGGCATGTGGTGGCTGGAAATACGGGCTACATGACCCAGCCAGTGCAGCCTTGCCCGCCGGAGGAGTTCACTGATGGGACCGTGTCCAGATCTTTCAAGGATTTGTGAGCTCCTCACACAATCCAACCTGATTGAACCCAGAATGGATCGTAGGCAGGGCAGCCTGAAAGTTTCAAACTTGCACAGATGTTCCATTAGAGGGGCACACACACACACGTGTATGCACACACAGAAGAAAGCAAACAAAAATCCCCCATATAGCCTTAACGGACTGTTGGGGCAAGTACTGTTAGCGAGCATCTATGAAGGCCGGCACGTCACACAAGGGGGTGGGTGGCCAGCACCACGCCCGGCAGCCTTTGTCTTGTACCCGGTGCAATGTTTACACACCGCACCGGGTACTCATTTGAGGCTGGGTTGACCTAGGGGAGGCCTAGGACAGGTTCAAATAATCGTCACTGGTGTTGGCCGTGAGCGGGAATCAAACTCAGGTCGCCGGGTTCATAGCGCAGTGCGCTAACCACTACACCACCGCTCCCCACCCGTGTTGTGTGTGTACACACACACACACCGTGCACACACACGTGCACACACACACACACGTGTACACACACACTGTGCACACACACCGTGCACACAAAACGTGTACACACACACCGTGCACACACGTGTACACACACACCGTGCACACACACGTGTACACACACACATGTGCACACACACGTGTACACACACACACGTGCACACACTGTGCACAAACACCATGCACACACACCATGCACACACACACGTGTACACACACGTGTACACACACACACGTGCACACACACGTGTACACACACACACGTGTACACACACACACGTGCACACACTGTGCACACATACCGTGCACACACACGTGTACACACACACACACTCGCGTACTTCTGCCAAAGGAGATGTAGGGGTTGTAGCTGCTCGCACTCGGAGAAGACTGTCGCGGCAGGCTGGCCGAGCGGCGGTCGACATCGGTGGTCGTCACGGTGGTGGTGAGGAGGTTCGGGGAGCGCTGCTCGGCACTGCCCGGAACGACGGTCGGACTCCAGGGGCCGGGTTTTGTGGGGCTGCCGGAACAAATCCGCCCGTCGTTCCCTCGGTTAATCCATCGGTCAGTCAATTGGTGAATAGATTCATCGGTCAAGAGTTCATTCGTTCGGCGAGGATAATGAACAAGTCACCGAATGAGTCAATCATTTCGTCAGCGAGAGAATGAATCGGCGGAAGCAGTCATGCAATCAAAGAATCAACAAATCATCATTTGAATCAGTTAATTAAGTCAGCCAATCGATTAATCAATTATTCCATGAATTATTTAAGCAGTCAGGAATTTAATCAGTGACTCAGCCAGTCTGTAAATGAATAATTTAATTACTCATGATGATGATCATGTTATTAATTATATTTTGAACGTTTATGATGATGATGATGACGTTGATCTGGATGATGATCATTATAATAATGATTACAATTGGCGTACTGATGACGGTGGCGGTGGCGATGATGGTGATGCCATTAATCGTGATTATGATGACGGTGACGATGGTGGCGATGACAATGTGAGCGACGGAGCCGTCACCTGCTGGAGGACGAGGTCCTCTCCAGCCTCTTCCTCTCGTTCCACCGCCGCTCCTCCTCCTCTATCTCCCTCTTCATCTTCTCCACGTCCTCGGCATCCTCGCCGTCGCTCGGAGCCCCCCCGGCGTGGCCCCCCGCCGCGGGCCCCCCACCGAGGCCTCCGTTGTGACTCCCCCCGCCGGAAGCCGTGTGGTTCGATGCCCCCCAAGACACGGCCCCCTCCAGTCTCCGACGCTCCTGCCATCGCCTCTCCTCTTCCTCCGCCTCCTCCCGCTGCTTCCGCTCGGCCTCCTGCCCGCCGATTCGTCCATCAGTTCGTTCCACCATTCGTTGACCGGTTTAACGACTTCGATCGTTCGCTCGTTCAAATCGTTCGTCTGCGTATGCATCCGTTTTTCTCGACTGTTCATTGTCACGTTTGTTTATTGTCTCGTTGGTTCATTGTCACGTTCGTTCATTGTCACGTTTGTTTATTGTCTCGTTTGTTCATTGTCTCGTTTGTTCATCGTCTCGTTTGTTTATTGTCTCGTTGGTTCATTGTCTCGTTGGTCCATTGCCTCGTTGGTTCATTGCCTCGTTGGTTCATTGTCTCGTTAGTTCATTGTCTCGTCAGTTAATTGTCTCGTCGGTTCATTGTCTCGTCGCGTCATTGTCTCGTCGGTTCATTGTCTCGTCGGTTCATTGTCTCGTCGGTTTATTGTCTCGTTTGTTCATCGTCTCGTTTGTTTATCGTCTCGTTGGTTCATTGTCTCGTTGGTTCATTGTCTCGTCGGTTTATTGCCTCGTTGGTTCATTGTCTCGTTTGTTCATTGTCACGTTTGTTCATTGTCTCGTATGTTCATTGTCTCGTTTGTTCATTGTCTCGTTTGTTCATTGTCTCGTTTGTTCATTGTCTCGTCGGTTCATTGTCTCGTCGGTTCATTGTCTCGTCGGTTCATTGTCTCGTCGGTTCATTGTCTCGTCGGTTCATTGTCTCGTCGGTTTATTGTCTCGTTGGTTCATTGTCTCGTTTGTTCATTGTCACGTTTGTTCATTGTCTCGTTTGTTCATTGTCACGTTTGTTCATTGTTTCGTTGGTTCATTGTCTTGGCCACCTTCGCTCACTTTCCCATGTCGACTCATTCACTATTTTTGTATTCACTCACTCATTCGTTAATATCCTCATTTATCCCTGCAACGTATTGTATGTATGTGCGTTGAACGTCTTTCGCACCGCACGTAGCCGCATGCATTTATTCCATGATTCATGCATTCAAATAATTCATGCGCTGAGTGAGTGCATGAGTGAGTAAGTGATCGTGATAGCAGTCAGTGCTCTCAGTCATCTCAGTCAGTCTGTCCTGTGACCTCCTGCCAGCGGGTGTTCGACATTTTACGTGGCCTTAACATGCACATAGCCTGGTACAAGCGCCGTGGTGACGTCAACGCAACTTAGTGGCGAATGGCGGTTGTTGTTGCGACAACGAGCAACCAAGCAAGGTGGTGAGTGCGTGGGGGGAGCCGGCGAGTGTGTGCGAGTGAGCGGGGGAGCGGGCGAGTGTGTGCGAGTGAGCGGGGGAGCGAGCGAGTGTGTGCGAGCGGGCGAGTGTGTGCGAGTGTGTGCGAGTGTGTGCGAGTGAGCGGGGGAGCGAGCGAGTGTGTGCGAGCGGGCGAGTGTGTGCGAGTGAGCGGGGGAGCGGGCGAGTGTGTGCGAGCGGGCGAGTGTGTGCGAGCGGGCGAGTGTGTGCGAGTGAGCGGGGGAGCGAGCGAGTGTGTGCGAGCGGGCGAGTGTGTGCGAGTGAGCGGGGGAGCGAGCGAGTGTGTGCGAGCGGGCGAGTGTGTGCGAGCGGGCGAGTGTGTGCGAGTGAGCGGGGGAGCGAGCGAGTGTGTGCGAGCGGGCGAGTGTGTGCGAGTGAGCGGGGGAGCGAGCGAGTGTGTGCGAGCGGGCGAGTGTGTGCGAGTGAGTGAGGGAGCAATCGTGTGAGCAAAGTGAGCCCAGGTTCTACTTACATGGTCAACCATGACATCATCGTTGTCTTCTGTGGAGGGAGGAATGCGGCAATAGACAAAAATCAGCCAGTCGCAACACCAATTTAGATTATTCAAATACCCTAGATTACCGATAGCAATTGCAATCGATTACCAACGAGCAGTACAACTAGCCACAAGGTCAAAATGATCTCCTATTGCTGAAGCTCAAATCAGCATTGAGGCATTGGGGCTCATCTCCCCGTTCACAGCCCTGCATAGCCAGTGCTGAAAATTCCACATTCATGCGACGGGACCCAGTACATCCAACATTAAACACCACACCAACAACCATCACCAACTTCCCTGCTCCACGCGATAACTCCGTGGAGACTACTACAGTACTATCAATACCCGGGTTCGATTCCTGACCACGGCCATCACGAGTGGGCGAGTGATATCTTATCAGGTCACCAAATCTGCGTTGACCAGCGCGGTGAAGTATGGCCACACAACCCCAGTGACAACGCGGGGAATGAATCCAGTTGAACAAAAGATCGAAACCGGAGTTTGCATTTTACCGGAAAATCCGAAGAACTCCGCATTCCGCCACTGGTTTTTCTTCCTGCCGGAAACTTCACCGTTGCTCGTGCTGCTCACTACACAGTAGAAAACATTTAATTTACCCATAAGAGGTTTTTTTGGGGTTAGATCGCATTAAATATATAAATGTGTCGTTAAAACCCGCCACCACCCGACACAGCCAACTAGTAAGGGTTGTCACGTAAACAGAAAGTGCCAATTCGTCACGAGTACAGCACACCGGTGTGTTGGAGAGCCAAGCAACAACATTTACAGAGTACGATGTTTCGCCAGTAATTACAACTAGCTTCATCGGCCACGCTCAATCCACTGCTGGATAATGGCCTTCCCCGGGCCAGCCCGCCGCCTCTCAAGGATCCTGCGATGTGACAGCTGACGTCTCGCTTGCCGCTTCCCGTCCCGAAGACGCTCGACGTAGCGTCGAGTGAAGCGTCGGCGAATATCATTGCCGCTAAACCGGGCTGTGGGAGTGGCACTCTTAACTCACCCCCCACGGTGAGCGTGAGAATTGTTCTCCAACTCACCCACAACGCAGCACAGCATCGCCCGCACAGTACGGCGTCACAAACAATATTCTAGAATCGCCGTAAACACACACACACACGTGCGTGCGCGTCTTGTAGAGCCTGGTAGATTTTATGGGGAGTGGTGGTGCAGCGGTCAGCGCGCTACGCTACGAATCGGGCCGTGACCCCCGAGTTCAATTCTCGTTTGAACCGGTCATGGGCCCTCCCCTAGATCGACTTAGCCTCCCCGTATGCTCGAGGCTATATGGCGAGGGGATCTTTGCGTGCATGTGTTTGTGCATCTGTAATGTAGCTTTCAGAGACATCTTCGTGTTCAGTTATATGTATATTTATTATGAATAAAGTCCACCGACTCACTGATAACTTAACGAGTAACCGCGAGTGACTATATACACTTGGGCAACTTAGACAACTCTATTCTGAGACAACACAACTCTAGCCTTCCAAGACTACAAGGTGCCCACTCCAGGATGATGAAGACGACCCGCTCCAAGGTGACGACGGTGATGGCCGTCCCCCCACAACAGCAGCCCTGAGCCCCGGTTCACGCCGGCTTTTATTCCCCTCACGACCCGGCCACGCCCCTATTCCCGAACCCTCTCTCACCGCACCTGGCGCTGTCCGTCTCTGCCCTTATTACAATTCACGGCCGTTAGGTCCCGTGCTTCTCCTCACGCAACCCTGTCAACACTTGTCGCATCAATCATCATTAGTGACCACTTAGGTCCCACGTTACCCTAACGTGACCCTGTCTGTTCCCGTTACGTTAATTAGTAAGCACGGCCATGGAGAGCCGTACTGTCCCTTCATCACCCCGTACTGTCCTTACACATGTGTGAGTGTGTGCATGCGTGTGTGCATGCGTGTGTGCATGCGTGTGTGCATGTGTACGTGCGTGCGCGTGTGTGCGTGCGTGCGCGTGTGTGCGTGCGTGTGTGCGTGTGTGCGCGTGCATGCGTGCGTGCGTGCGTGCGTGCGTGTGTGCGTGTGGTGTTTTTTTCTTCCGTGGGTAGTGGCTGGCACCTTTCTGGGTGGCGCCGACGCTTGGAGGGGGCGCCACCTTGGCAGGCTCAGCGGGCAGGACTGGGCGGCTGGGCTTGTCCGAGGCGACGGAGCGCGTCTCGGAGACGCCGAATCCCTGCCGGGTCGGGTCGGGGGGGGGGGGGGGGCGGCACGGTGATTAACAATGGTGCTCGGTGTGAAGCACGCACAGTACCCACGCCATCCTCACGGCGCGAGGAAGTCACGAAGGAATGCCGCCGCCGCTGCTTTGTTTTCACAGGCGGGTACGGAGCCGTGTCGCCTGCGAGCGATCCACAGTTTGGACCGAGACTCCGGTGCGCGATCGACACCACTCGTTCTGAACAGCGTCGGGGGGGGGGGAGCTTACGACAACCGCCGGACGTCCCGGGCGGGGCCTCCCGGGGGGGCCCACCCTGACTCGGTGCTCGGCAGCTGTCTAAAAAAAAATATATTAAAATAACGAGAAATAATAAAACACCTGGTACGCGACGGAGGGAGGCGGCGACGATTTGGTGAGTGTCACGGTAACCGAGGAGGTTGTCTTGCCAACGGGAGACACCAGGGTGGTGGTGGAGGCGGCAGCGGCAGGAGGCGCGTTTGTCATCACCGGCGGCGGCAATCGCTGACTCAGCCGGTTCACCGCCACCGCCGAGCTGTCGAACTTCCTCGGCGGTGGCGTGGGAGGAGAGGCGACTCGCCGCAGCGGTGCCGCTGGCGGTGCCACTGGCGGTGCCACTGGCGGTGCCGCTGGCGGTGCCACTGGCGGCGGTGGTCGCCACGGCCCCTCCTCCTCCTCGTCGTCATCATCCCCCCACGCTCTGGTGGAGCCGTAGCTCTTGCGTGTGGTTGAGGCGGTGTTGTTGAAGGCGGTGTTGTTGTAACCAGTGTTGTTGTAGGCGGTGGCTTTGGTGTTGGCGGTGGTGGCTTTGGTGACGGTGGTGGTGGTCACTTTGGTGGTGGGTGCCGCTTTCGAGGATTGTGCCTCCAGCGCCTTCCAGCCCTGCACTGTGCGGTTATAACTCTTCACTGATTCCACTTGAGAACCCGAGGGTTTTTCCAGAGGGCGGCTGAAGGATGTCACCGTCTCCGCCTGCACACGTCGAATGAGGGGCGCCACGGTGGTGAGAGATGTTAACTCCCTCGCCTGGTATACATGAGGTCGTGGGTTCGATCCCGACCCTGATGCCTATATCATTTGGAGTTTACATGTCTCTCTCCCGATGGTCGTGTGAATTTTTCTCTGGGTCCTCCGGTTTTTCCGTCCACATTTAGAATCAACATCACGCGTTTAGAGTATTTGGCTGCTGTAAATTTCCACGTGATGATGATAAGACACTTCATTGAGCTATCATTTGTGGCCAAGTCGCTTCTGATAAAGAGTTATATAGCTCAGTGGGGCTTTCCTGGTAAAATGAACATAGTTTAATAGTTTTTAATGTTTAATGGAGATCGTCATCATTCCAGGTCTTTGCGCCCACACCTCGTCCGCCACAAGTGGAGAATTAAGGAGAGCCCACAGTGTGACTGCGGTCCACACGAACCAGACAATGGAACCACCGTATCGAAACCAACTGCATCCTACGGCCGCCCTCCGGCGGACTGAGCGGTATTAAGCTATCGCGTGGCTCACAGACTTCAAATCGGACGTGTGTTTTGCACAGACTTGGCCATACGCTAGAGAGAGAGCCATAGCTCCACTCGTTTTGCCCAGGGAAAACCTCAAGTACTCTTTTTTCAGGGAGCGTCCTGCCAAGATTTAGCAGTAGGGGGGCGATGCTGCTGCTGTGTGCGTGTGATCCCAATCGAGTTACTTGCGGGGTTGGTTTTTGAATTCGGCTAATTTTGGACATTGCCAACGACGTCGGGGTGATCTCTGCCGTGCACCGTGACGGCCACGACACGTAGAGTGTCGTGGTTAATACGCAAGCGCGTATTAACCACGACAAGCGCGTATTATGCGCGTGCAATTTATCCAATTTGCGGATTAGCCGCGCACCTGAGATTTTGATGTCAATTAATAACTCATGAATTTTACATTAAGCCCAAATTAATAATTAAAAACTAGTTATACATTTTTATTCTTGGAAATGTTTATTACACGTCACGTGCTTCAACCGAACAAATATCTTGCATCCGGTTAATTCTAAATCCACGTGATCACCTCTACAGTACATAAGTTGCATATCTTTACAACTGTGGGTGGAGTTTGATGTTGATTGGCGTGGCTCTGCTTTCATCCACTTAGTGGGCCGAGTCTTCTGGACTTTTGTAATAAGACATGATCAATACATTATTTGCTACTATTTTAGTTTTGTCAATTAACAAACTAAATTTTCTTCACTTAAACATAATTTATACCTATATTAATGGCTTTTGGCATAGAGATCCGAGGAAAATCTTAATATTTTTGGATTATCCGCAATTTTTTCATTTTCCGCGGCCATCCTCCTCGTCATTAGCGCAGATAATGGCGCGGAGTCTCCTGCATTCACTTGGGCGGCCTGCCAGAATCGAACCACGAAAACCAAAAAACCTCTGCAAAAAGAGCACGTCTGCACTTCCGCCGGGGCTCGCCGCTCACCCTCTCCTTTTCGGACACTTAGACGCGGGCCTCTCTATTTATATGTCTGTCCTGGGCACGCCGCGGGGAACGTCATCCTTAAATGTACCTTGAATCCACGGGGCAGGGACTGCACGCTGTCCCACTGTGCGGCCGGAGCCTTCCTTGAGGCCTGGCTCGCATGCAAGCTCGGCTTGGCTTCGCTGATCCTGGGCTGCACTGGCACGTTAGGCGAGGGGCTAGGCTTGGGTGCCTCTGCATAGGCCTTGAACACCGTGCTTGTTTTCTGCAAAATAGATGTGTGTGCACAAAGAACAGTTACAATTAATATGATCTATTTATAACCATCATCATCAGCCACAGTCTATCCACTGCCGGATGATGGCCTCACCACGCTGTGGCCATCGTTCATGGTCCTGCAAATGCCACAACCCATCTTGCTCCTGCGCACCAGCTGATTTCATTGCTCCATCCCCACTGGGATTGTGCATTCCCTCCTTTCGCTGCCAGTCCGTTGTTAATCGATCGGTCGTCGTTCCTTCCGACCGGGCGCCCCCCAGCTGCGATGCGCCCTGCCCAAGCCTCGCTCACTTCTCTTATCGTCACCACGACGCCTCTGCCTTGCGTGTGTTCTCTAATCCACGTGCTCCTCTATCGGGCCTCTCAGTGCAGTCTCCACCCATTTTTATGCATTCTTTGAAAATATGGAATTGACCCAACATCCCAAGTCTATGCTGGGTATACAATACATTATATATTATGTATTTAAAAAACAACAGATATAGTGAGATGAAAAAAGATAGGTGCAGACCAATTAAGAGATTACGTACATTAATTGGCTACATAACAATAGGATTTACCCTTTCTGGCAATAAAACAGTTGTATTAAAATGTTAAAACGCCAAACGGAATCCTTTTTCAAGGAACCAATGTCTGCATTAACCACAAGATTTGTGGTGAACATGCAAACAAAAAAAGAACATGCTCTGATAATATATCAGGGCATGTTGACGATCGTGGCATTCTCTGGTCTAACACTTTGAGACTAGGCTCAAAAGAAAGCTGTCTCTGGTATGGACCAATCAGTTTAAAAGAAAATGCTATATATTATGTCAGAGCATGTTTTGTTGTTGTTTGAGTGTTCACCACAAGTACCTGGTGTGGTTAATGCAGACAGGAGTCCTCGAAAAAGGTTTTTGTTTGGTGTTTTAGCACCTTGACACAACTGTTTTATTGCCAGAAAGAGTAAAACCTATTGTTATATTTTGATACTGGCAAGAAAGGTCCCATATTAACGGGCTATCTTGTTAATTGGCTGCTGTGTCAATTAGAGTTTGAAGTTGAACATTTGCCGCAGGGCTCCTTAAGTTACTTGGGTCCCTGAGCCATTTTCTTTCATGCCGAGTGCCCCCCCCCCCCCCGACCCCATCAACGTCTCACGGGCAGGGCGACGGATGGCTGCGACGAGGCTGTGACGAGGTTCCTCTTCGTCTGCCCGGAGTCCACCATATCCCTCCTCCTCTCTGTCACCTCTTCGTAGTCCCGCGCCGCCTCCGGACGACGGAGGGAGCTCACGCCGCCCCGCGACGACGAGTAGACGGCATCGTCGTCGTCATCGTCGTTATCGTCGTCGTTATCGTCGTCGCCGTCGTTATCGTCGTTGACGCCGCTGCGAAGAGATGAGAGAGAGTGAGTGCGGAGGAGGGAGAGGGCAGTGGGTAATTGGCACCCAGAAAAAAATTCACATTTCGGAGCGCTGAGCACCTGCACGCCAATTCCATTTGTTTGGCCGTGCCGGGAGGCAGAGGGTCTCAGACGGCAACAAATTTGGCCAGATTGTTGCGTGGCCCAACCCAAAACCCAACGGTGAATCGGTTGTAACGATCATACTTGTTGCCATAGAAGCCACCGCGACCGCCACCGCGGCCGTCACCGAGATCGCCACCACGATCGTCACCGCCGCCGGATCGGTAGAGCCGCACGTTGCCGTTGGAATTGGCGGAGTTGTCGCTCTGCTTCTGGAGGAGCTTCTCGCTGGAACCGATCCTCCGGGACTTCCAAGCTGCCAGGCTCTGTGTAGTCGAGAAGGTGAGAGCAGAAGATGAGACCAGCACCGTCACCACACAATAACGAGTTCAGGAGAGATCGTGTGTGCGAGCAGCGTGCGTGTGAGTGTATGTGGAGCGAGCAGGGTGTGTGTGCGAGTGTGTCTGGAGCGAGCAGGGTGCGTGTGTGAGTGTATCTGGAGCGAGCAGTGTGCGTGCGTGTGTGAGTGTATCTGGAGCGAGCAGGGTGTGTGTGTGAGTGTATGTGGAGCGAGCAGGGTGCGTGTGTGAGTGTATGTGGAGCGAGCAGGGTGTGTGCGTGTGTGAGTGTATGTGGAGCGAGCAGGGTGTGTGCGTGTGTGAGTGTGTCTGGAGCGAGCAGGGTGTGTGCGTGTGTGAGTGTATCTGGAGCGAGCAGGGTGCGTGTGTGAGTGTGTCTGGAGCGAGCAGGGTGTGTGCGTGTGTGAGTGTGTCTGGAGCGAGCAGGGTGCGTGTGTGAGTGTATCTGGAGCGAGCAGGGTGCGTGTGTGAGTGTATCTGGAGCGAGCAGGGTGTGTGTGTGAGTGTGTCTGGAGCGAGCAGGGTGTGTGTGTGAGTGTATCAGGAGCGAGCAGGGTGTGTGCGTGTGTGAGTGTATCTGGAGCGAGCAGGGTGCGTGTGTGAGTGTGTCTGGAGCGAGCAGGGTGTGTGCGTGTGTGAGTGTGTCTGGAGCGAGCAGGGTGCGTGTGTGAGTGTATCTGGAGCGAGCAGGGTGCGTGTGTGAGTGTATCTGGAGCGAGCAGGGTGTGTGTGTGAGTGTGTCTGGAGCGAGCAGGGTGTGTGTGTGAGTGTATCAGGAGCGAGCAGGGTGTGTGCGTGTGTGAGTGTATCTGGAGCGAGCAGGGTGCGTGTGTGTCTGGAGCCAGCAGGGTGTGTGCGTGTGTGAGTGTATCTGGAGCGAGCAGGGTGCGTGTGTGCGCGAGTGTCTGGAGAGCGGCCTCACACTCTGCCACGCGTGGTCGCTCTCCTCTGGCACGTGCTGCCGGGACTGCTTCAGCTGCTCGTACTGCTGCTTCTGCTCCGCCGTGCGGCGCGCCAACTCCGCGGGGCTCATCTCCACCACCTCGTCAGCGTAGTCGACGCTCACGCCGCCGCCGCCACCCCCACGCACGTCGCTCATGCTCCGGCTCCTGCAGATCGATCGTTCGTTCACCCCCTCGCTCATTGGCTGGCTACGACCGTTCGTTAGTTGGTACGCGCGTGAACGAATTCCTTTGTTGGATCACTCGGTGTGTTCATTCGGCTGCGCCGTCGGTGAATGAATTTGTTGGCCGACTCATTCATCAGTCGGCTCGTTCGTACACAAAGATAAAGATCCCCAGTCCTGTAGCCTTTCACACTCTTGGGGCAATTGCTGTTAGAGAGCAACACACACACACCCACATATACCTACCCGAGCCCAGTCACACAGACACTCACCCACTCACACACACACACCAAATCACAAAGATAAAGATCCCCCGTATAGCCTTAACAGACTGTTGGGGCAAGTGCTGTTAGCGAGCACCTATAAAGGCCGGAACGGTACACGAGGGGGTGGGTGGCCGGTACCACGCCCGACCGCCTTTGTCTCCCTAGTGGCGATATTTACACACCGCACTTGGTACTCATTTGAGGCTGAGTCGACCTAGGGGAGGCCCAGCACCGGTTCAAATAATCGTCACTGGTGTTGACAATGAGCGGGAATCTAACTCGGGTCGCCGGGTTCATAGCGCAGCGCGCTAACCGCTACAATACCGCTCCCCATACACACACTCCCAACAACAACAACCGCTTTTGCCACTAAGTGGTGGTGACGTCAGCACGACGCTTGTGCCAGGCTATGTGCACGTTGAGGCCATGTGAAGTGTCGAACGCCCGCTGGCAGGAGGTCACGGGACAGACCCAGGTGCCACGGGTCGACTGAGATGACTGGCCACTGCACCATCTGTGACCCCTACTGTGCCAACTTGCTGTGTTTTAGCCACCTGGCGCTCCGCTCGTTGTTGTGAGCGTCGCTCCTCCGCCCTCCGTTGTTGTTGGAGGGCGATTACCTCCAACTGCCCAGTAGCGTCCTTCACGAGTCTCCTCCACAGAGGCCGATCTTGACACCGCTGGTACCAGTCATCGGCAAGTCCACTCAGCTCCACGTCCTCCTGTACCACATCACTCCATCTCTTCTCTAGCCCGTGCCGCGCCCGTTTAGCACCCTCGATCCGCATGACCCGGAGTGAGACCTCTGCTTTCAAACCGGAGCCGGTCATGAGCACACTGCCCAGGTCTGGGAAACTCTCCACTCTTTCCACAACTTCCCCATCACCAATTGGGAGTTGTGGGGTTGGAGTGTCTGATGGTACAAAATACCCAGGCACACACTCCCACACACACTCATTCCTTGTGCCCCTGGTACGAGGAATTAAATGGGCTCCTCTTCATAGCTGGAGCCTGGCGTCTCTGTGACTCACGGGCCACGGTGTAGTTGCAGTGTCTGCACACTCTCGAGTGATGACAACTTGTAACGCGCTGGAGGGTATTTACTTGTCGCTCTCCTAGAGAGAGAGGCGACGACTCGGAGGCGCCAGGGGGAGGAACAATTACCCGAGCTCCTCGGCCAATCGACGAGTGTTTTACACGTGGGAAGAAGGCACGGAGCGCCCGGGGGGAAACCAATGCGTGCGAGGGGGAAACACTCGATCCGCCAAGTACACCACGAGAACAGGTAAGAGTCCACATTTGTTTTGTTCTACTGCCCTCTCGTGGGAGAGCCACGGTACGGCTCCTCCACGCCCAGCTTCGCGGGCCTGCAAGCGAGCAGTCGACTGCTGCCAGTAGCAGGGCGGTGATGGCTACTGCTGCTTCAGAGTGCAGTGTAGCGGTTATGGATGTGTATGTTGACTTCTTTCGCACCGCACGTAGCCAGCCTGCTTTGTCTTTGTGTACTACAATCCAGAGCCCCCTGCCACTTAACCCACCCCCCCCCCCCGTCCCGTACCTGTCTCCCATGCGTGGCGCCTCCTCACTCTGCGGTGCCGTCCAGCTCTGGCGGACCGCCTGGGACCTCTCTCCTCGCTTCTTGCGTAGAGGCACGGGCACGTGCGGCGAGGCGGCGGCGCCGTGCGGCAGGTAGTGGTTGAACGCCACCTGAGGCTTGGCGTCGTACTTTTGGATGTCCCGCATATTGGCGGTGGTTGGCGCTGGGTGGCGCTGGGTTTAGGTGGTGCAGCAGCTGGCGTGGTGGTGGCGACACGAAGCCCTGCAGCGTGCCGAACACAGCAATCGCAATGCCGTTATTTGCTGCTACGGCTACCTCATTATCAGTGATGATGATGATGAGTATCACCATGATTAGTGTGATGAGCATTGTAATAATTATTGCGATGATTATCATTATTATCATGATGATTATTGTGATGAGAATTATTATTGACGACGCTTGGTTGCACAACGGTTGCTGTTGTGACCGTGGAGGTGGGAACTGGTTCTTTTGACGTGCCACGCTAATACGGTAACTTACAGAGCCCCTCCCCCCGCCAGCCCCCCCTAGAGGTCACGGCGGAATCGTGGGAAGGGGGGGGGGGGGCGACCGCCCAGGGCCCCGTAGGCGTCAGGGCCGGGATGGAACCCACCACGACCTCCTGCATACCAGGCGAGGGAGATAACATCTCCTGGCCACCACGTCACTGGGGCCTCTCTGTGCACGCATGCTGGGGAGAGAACGCGGCTTGGCCAGCCCATCGGAATCTGGGGCCTCAGCGGCGCTGGCTGAAGTGTCTCCGTCACGGCCATGGTGAGCACCCAGACAGAGTTACAATCGAATGATCATATTTATACTGGAGGAATCCGATGAGCTATAAAACTCTTTTTCCACAGATGTCCAGTAGGGGCACGGGGTAAGAACGTCACAACAACAAACAGTACACAAACACGATAGGAGTGCAAAGTACAAGAAATGTCAACAAATCACCGAAACAAATTAAACTAAACCATCCCCATCCTACCAGGGGAAGCCCACCAAGGCATTAACTTGTTGTCCAAGAGCGACCTGGCCATCACAAGTGACGACTCAACAAAGGGGGGGGGGGGGCGCCAGACGCTCAAACCCAGGGCCTCGGCGACTCGCACGTGGCCATCATGAACCCCCCCCAACTTGAGAGGGGGGGGGGGTGCTACCGGCCCCGCTCCCCTCTCTATGGGCGGCCGCACCGCAGTATTAATGAGGGCAGCTTCCTGGATTTGAGCCGTGAACTTTTTGCAACAGCCATTCTGAATCGGCTGATATCACGACATACTATGATCAATCCACTGCTGGACGAAGGCCTCGCTAAGCCGTCGCCATCACCTCTCACGATCCTGCCATGCAATAATAACCATTGCCATTGCCATGCAATAATAACCATTGCATGCAATAATAACCATTGCCATGCAATAATAATCATTCCCATGCAATAATAACCATTGCCATGCAATAATAACCATTGCCATGCAATAATAACCATTGCCATGCAATAATAATCATTCCCATGCAATAATAACCATTGCCATGCAATAATAATCATTCCCATGCAATAATAATCATTGCCATGCAATAATAATCATTGCCATGCAATAATAACCATTGCCATGCAAGAATAACCATTGCCATGAAATAATAATCATTGCCATGCAATAATAATCATTCCCATGCAATAATAACCATTGCCATGCAATAATAATCATTCCCATGCAATAATAATCATTGCCATGCAATAATAATCATTGCCATGCAATAATAACCATTGCCATGCAAGAATAACCATTGCCATGAAATAATAATCATTGCCATGCAATAATAATCATTGCCATGCAATAATAACCATTGCCATGCAATAATAACCATTGCCATGCATTAATAATCATTGTCATGCAATAATAACCATTGCCATGCAATAATAACCATTGCCATGCAATAATAACCATTGCCATGCAATAATAATCATTCCCATGCAATAATAACCATTGCCATGCAATAATAACCATTGCCATGCAATAATAATCATTCCCATGCAATAATAACCATTTACATGCAATAATAACCATTGCATGCAATAATAATCATTGCCATGCAATAATAATCATTGCCATGCAATAATAGCCATTGCCATGCAATAATAACCATTGCCATGCAATAATAATCATTGCCGAATGCTTACAAGCGAGGTCTCCGCTAGGCTGTGGGTTTCTGTTGTAAGTCTATGGCTCGCTATGTAAGTCGATGGGTCTGTGTACAAATCTACGGGTTTCTGAGTGTACGGGTCTCACTCTGAGTGTGTTTAGGGGTCCGTATAAGTTGGGTGTAAGTCTACGGGTGTCTGTGTGAGTCTATGGGTGTCTGTGTAAGTCTATGGGTCCGTGTAAGTCTATGGGTCTCTGTGTAAGTCTATAGGTCTCTGTGTAAGTCTATGGGTCTCTGTGTAAGTCTATGGGTCTCTGTAAGTCGATGGGTCTCTGTATAAGTCGATGGGTCTCTATGTCAGACCATCAACTCAATCATGGTTTTTGGGACGGCTGCATCTCGGATTCCAGACCCCGACTCTCAGGGTCCCCCGACCAAGAAACAAAATCCATGAACTGATTTGTTCATGGATTTTGTTTGATGTTTTTTTTTTACCATCGCCATGCCCTCAGCTCACCCCGCCTGAGCGATCGCCACCCCCGACTGCGTGTCCTTGGCCGGTATGTCTGCCTCTGGCCCAGCCGGAAAACGTCGACAGTGGCGAGCGAAGTCTCTCCGGGCGCTCAGAGCGACGGGCCGACGAGTGGCGCGGCGAGGGGAGCGGCTTCGCCCCCCCCATCCCCCCCGGCAGAGCCATCCCACTCATTCCCCTCGTCCCGGCGTTGATTGACTGACGGAGGCCCGGATCATAAATAATCAAGAACAAATAAAGAGTTTAGAGCGGCGGTTCTTGACCTGGGGTGCATCACCTCGCACACAGCCTGGGGGTGCGAGCTGAGGCCCCTTCTGGGGGTGCGAGCTGAGGCCCCTTCTGGGGGTGCGAGACGTGGCCAGATTGTTTTTGAATGTAAATAATCGAAAACACAAATTAAGCACATGCACGTAAGTTCAACTACTTTGCTTAAACAACCTTTGTGTGTGTTCATTAACACTGTTGATTGTTTTTACGATTGACATCCCAAGGTGTGCAAGGCTGCAGTGAAGGATAATATCCACTGGTTTCAATAGTTATCCTGATAGCGTGGCCATGATACAGAAGATTTGATTGATTTAAGTCGGTAAGGAGGGCCGAATGAGCTTGTCAGCCGCTATATTTCATGGGCGTCCTGCGATGGTACAGATGCTGTAACAGTGCAGATCTGCGTTAAATAACAATATTGATGCATTTTAATATCGCGTCGTTCATGCAAAAACTGTCACCTCACAACCGCTGTGCAAGGCAACAGCGATAAAATATAATAATTAGTGCCTCTCGCAAGACACGGAGCAAGCCCAAGCCAAGGTCAACCCGATGTAGAGGCCGCACGAAGTTTGCTTTTAAACGTCGCTTACATCGTGGACAGGGCGGGGGGGGGGGGGTGAGAACGTCGTCTGTCTGGCGAGTGTGGAGAGCGGGAGGAGGAAGAGGAGTTGCCGGTCCACCGCCAGTGTCTCGCGTCTCATCTCGGTGGCCCTCAATGAGTTTGCAGCTCCACATTGGGTGAACTCAGCACCCCCTGGTGGGTTTGTGCAGAGCAATGAGGGCGTGGGGGGGGGTCCACTCACGGTGTTGTAATCATGGGCGGAGTTTGAGGGAGGCACGGAGGGGGGGGCTCAATGCCCCCCCTCCCCCAAACTGGACACCTTTATTCATTAATTTTCAGTAGTTCACAATTCAGATTTTCAAGTTAATTCATTAATTATATGCACCCGTGATTCCTAAAGTGAGACACAAAACGAACCGCCTGCTCCCCCCCCGAATCGAGAAGTCAAACTCCGCTCTAGTGTTGTACTCCATCAGTGTTGTACTCCATCAGTGTTGTACTCCATCAGTGTTGTACTCCATCAGTGTTGTACTCCATCAGTGCGGTCTTAAACCCGGGGGGGAGGGGGTGGGCAATACAGGGAAACTGGAATGGCGATGAGATGTGTGTGGGGATGAGATGTGTGTGTGTGGCCACGAGGGGGAAGCAGTAGCGCGGGAATGGACACAGTCACACTCCCCCGAAGTAAACTAAATATGTTATACAGAATAGAGGTGTCTTCTTGGTTCTTTCGGTAAAGTCACGTAGAAGGGAAGCATTTCTCTTCTACGTGACTTTACCGAAATAATCCCTGCAGTCACGAAAGCTTTAAATCGAAATATAATAAAGGTGTTTGGGGTTTGATCGCGTAAATATAAATGTGTCGTTAAACCCGCCACCACCCGACACAGCCAACTAGTAAGGGTTGTCACGTAAACAGAACGTGCCAATACGACGTTTCGCCAGTAATTACAAGTAGCTTCATCAGGCGGACAGCGACCAGATTTGTGGAGAAATCCTCCTGTTTCGTTCCTTATATCGAGGGGTAGATGTGATGAGGTCACTTGTGAGCCCTTCAGTGTCAGATGGTGATAGTGAAATGTTAAAGCAGCGCTGCAATTGAACGGTTACAATGATGCACAAATCAACAGGGCACTGAATGCCAAAACCAAATAAAACAACACGAGCGTTGAGACTGACCAAGTAATTTAAACTATTAAAGTACTGTACATTGCGGGAGTAATTGATAAACTCGCCAGATGCTTGGAAAAACAAAACATCCGAGTCAGATTTGGCACTGTGCATAAAATACAGAAATTCATATCTGGTACAAGAGATTTATTACCGAAGCTATCAACAGAAGGTGTGTACCGGATGAATTGCTCTTGCGGCAAACGCTACGTTGGGCTGACAGGACGAATGATCAGCACGAGATGGAGAGAACACCAAGGAATATGGAACACTCCCAGATACAACTGTCAGCAGTGGCAGAACACGCGTGCCAACAAGGATACTCAATTCTGATAATGTTGGAATTAAAACTAGCTACTACTGGCCAAGACTAATTAGATAATCTATCGAAATTGAGAGAAATACAACTGAATTTAACCGGTCGTATAGCTACAGGCTTAGTGCTGCTTGGAAGCGAATCATCAAACAATACAATGTTTAAATACATTCCTCTACAGGTACGTCAAAAGTGATTACCTGTACGCCGCAGCCAATTGCAGGTCCTGCTATTTTAGTGCACACAATCGA